AGCAGGACACCAGTGATGGGTAATACCTTCCCACTGTAAATCAGAAATCCTGCTGGTGCTAGAAATACAAAAAAGGACCAGGTGCAGTGGCCACTGCCTATAATCCCAGCTGCCTGGAGGTTGAGATAGGAGGATCGCAAGTTGGAAGTCAACCAACTTCAGTTAGCCCCTGTCGCAAAATGAGAGAGCTGAGACATAGCTCAGAGCAGAGTCCCTGCCTAACAAGGTCCCGAGTTCAACCCTCAATAACATCCAAACTGGGAAGGAAAACTTACTCCTGTTCTGTATGAGCTTCCATTCTAATGGCAACAAAGAAAAAGGCGTTTACAGTGTAAAGTAGCCCATAATTTTAAAAGGGACCAGATTCTAAGGGGAAAGAAAAGAGTAGCTAATTTTTTGTAGGCACTTGAAGAGCAAAACTTACAAACTCAGGTTTTAAAATATGAATTTTTTAAGTTGCACTCAGGCCACAAGGGAAAGCACATGCAAGAGCACAGGAGAAGAAACGGTCACAGCATGTGGAAGACTGCATGTACAGTCAACATAAAAGTCAAATGAAGAAGGAGGCAGAAACCAAATCCCTATTCCGCAACCTCAGGTTGGCAGTTTAAAGTGGGCAACAGAAAGACTCTATAACATGAAAATGTACAAACACCAAAAATCAGGGTTTAGGCTTTTTTGTTTTGTTTTGTTTTTTAATCACATCCACGTCTCATTCCCAGAGCCAAGTGTTAAACATTTACCAGCACAGTACTGAAATACCACACTGCAGAAGACATTTTAACATGAAGGCCACTCAATGTGCTATATGACGTTAAGATGGAAACATTCTTCAGATAGAAGGCAACTGGAAATACATTTTCTCTCAAGAAACCTCTATTTTAAGAAATAACAGACCAACCACACTACACCCTGCTAGAGACCATTCCATCTGAAATCATAAAAGGTCTTTCTAAGGAAAACTGTCTGTTAACTATGCTGCTACTCTTGTCCCTTAGAAGAGATCCTGACTGAAAATTTGTTGTCAAGCAAAATAAACTACTCCTTGGTTGTCAGTCTACAGTATTAAAGAGAGAAAACATAGCTGTAACATTTTCTCTTTGATGTTTACTCTGCATTAAAAATTAGAAAGATTTTCAGATGTTAAGAGATTTCTATTATACAGAGCATAATGTAGCTTTTACAAAGAAAAGTATTGGGCTGGAGGTGTAGCTCAGTGGTAGAACAGCTTCCTGACTTGCAATGAGGCCCTAGGCTCAATCCTTAGCACCACAAAAAATGAAAACAAACAAACAAACAAAAAAACCCAAAAAACTGTCACCAGAACGTAAGATAAAAACTAAGCATGGAGAAAACAGTAGTTTCCTCTGCTGCTCACAAGGGAGTGGAAGGTAAGAAGGTATATTTCCCACATAATTCAAACTAGAAAATTGTAAATATATCTAGAAAGCTAATTTAATACCAGTAGACAGTAGTAAACTAACTGTGATTTATAAGACATTCCAAAAGCAAGCATTTACTTTAAATCAGTATCTTTTAAATATTAAAGAAAAAATAAGTAACTATAAAATGACCTAGACTTCACTTAAAGCTGTATCAAGAAATTTTGCATGGGCTGGGGAGACAGCTCAGTAGAATAAGCACTTGTCTGGCAAGTGAAAGGTCCTGAGTTCCATCCCCGATAAAACACACACACACACACACACACACACACACACACACACACACACAGAGAGATAAAGACAGACAGACAGAGACAGAGACACAGAGAGAGAGACAGACAGACAGACAGACAGACAGACAGACAGAGAGACAGACAGACAGAGAGACAGAGAGACAGAGAGACAGAGAGACAGAGAGAGAGACTTTGCGAAGCTCTCCTCATGACCAGAAGTCTCATCTGTGCCTTCACCCCCAGAGGCGATGCAGAAAGCTACCATTGAGCAGGTGGCTGACACAAGTGAGCGTACGCCTCACACTGCACAAGAGAAATGATTTGGGGCAAAGGCTCAGAGCAGAGAAGCAAACGATGGCCTTGGCAGGGAGCGCCGGCCTTTCCTTTCCGAGGACTCTCACCAGTTTTTTATTAGTTGAGGATTAAGGGAATAGTGAATAAAACTGCCTGCTAGACAGCCCAAGAGGGGAGAATAACATCCTCACTATGTGCACCTCACATGCAAGCTTTCAGAAATAACAATCATAAAATTAAACTTTCTATAAAAAGTTACTGGACAACCCAACCCAGATCAGACCAATGGAAATGTCAAAATAAACCACCAGTACTTGTGTCAGAAATTTGGATGGCATGAAATGCCAGTCAGGTAGGTCAAGCTGTCAAAGCATCTAACTTTATTACATTTGGTTTTAGAAAAAGACAGACAGGCTACAAACTTACTAGGAAAATTAGTAGAGTTTCTTTTTGTTTGTTTTTATACTCTGTGGGTTAGGACAAAATAAATATTTGGTTTTGCCACCAGGATTCACTAAATTGATACTGTTTCTTTGGCTCTTGAGGTTGGAGAAGTCAAATTCAAGCCACTGATCACACTTGCCCCAACAGGCTGTAAGTGTGAATCTATACGAAATATATATTTAAAAATCCACTTATGTATAGGTTTTCATTGCTATCTTTGCACTATGAATCTTTAAAGAAAATAAAGGGATTTCATTAAATAAGTTGCATTCAACACAAAGTCCTATCCCATTTAATTATCTAGTTTGTATTTTATGTATATTTATTTTAGAGTCCCTAGAATGTGACTGCATTAAGCTATAAGCATTACACACATAAACTACCATGAGAATGCAGGAATTATTTTGTTATGCAAACATTGTCTTAGGAGAGGTAAATAATTTTATGAAGACAACCTTTTTATCACTGATGGCTTTTATATGAACAACATTGAGTTCATTTAACGTCTCTTCTCTTATGCATATAGCTTGGCAGTTACTTCATGAAAACTGCCTCATCCAACTTGAACCTTCAGAAAAAAACTTTAAAGGGTGTGTGTGTGTGTGTGTGTGTGTGTGTGTGTGTGTTTATGGGCCATATCATAGACAGATGAGACCGAAACAGTCCAGTCGTTCCAGAATCTTTGCTCCTAAATCTTTGCTATTAATCTGCATATACTCCTACATGCTGAAAAAAAGCAGCAAGACATGATGTTTAAAATGAAAATATGTGACTCAGGTAAAAGCAATAGCTTCTAAAACAAAGAATTTTATTTCTAACGTCAATACACTAAAACTACTATCAGTATTAAGAGATAAGCAAGCATTTGAAAAAATTTACCCTTAAATATATTTTTCTTGCATGAATGTACTTAATTATCAAAACTGTTCCAGCCTTTTTTGCGATATCACATCACCTAACATTTTTGGGACCTCGTAATTGATTTGAAAGCATTTCATGAAAAAGACCTTATCTAATCTTGCCAGCAACAAAGCAAGACAGGTATGACAGAGATAATTTCATATAATGATAATTTCACATATTCGGTCACAGTGCCCAAATATTTGGTCAAATATTATACTGGATATTTCTCTGAAGGTGATTTTAGAGTGAGAACAACATTTACTCTGGTGAACTCCGAGGGTAGCAGATTATCCTCCACACTGCGGGGGCCTCAGCCAATCTGTTAAAGGCTTTAATGCAACAGAAATGATGCCTACTGGAACATCAGTAGACTGGCTGCTTCTGGGCTCAACTGCAGCTTTGCTTCCCTAGGTCTTCAACCAGCAAGTCTACCCTGCAGGTGAAGGGTTCTACACTTCATGAGCCAACTCTCTGTCACGCTTCATACACATCCCCATACACACACTCTGCACAAATTAGCTCTCCTTTATCTGCACTTTCACTTTTCATGATTTCAGTCACCTTTGGTTTATTTCAGAAATGAACTATTCCAAAGTTTTCAGGGAAAAAAAAAAGGATTCTGAAGGATGGGATGAAAACCCTGTCATCGTCCCTAAATTGCCCCCTTGACCGCGTATTCACATTGTATGTGCTGCCCTTCTGGTAGGAACTCAGTGGTCATCTGATCCACTGTTGCTGTGTTGCTATTGCTCAAGTAACCCTGTGAAACTTCATCCTGGCCTAAAGCACAAGAAGCACAATGTTGGCAACTCTCAGGTATTTTTATCAAAGAACTAAACCCCTATGCACACATAAGAACTTCTGCATAAATGTTCATAATAGCCACACAGACAACAGCAACAAAGTAGAAGCAACAAAAATGCTCATCAACCAGTAAGTGGATAAACAAAGTGTGGCATGTTCATACCACAGAATGATTCAGCCATAAAAAAGAAGTCAGGCTAGGGGTCTGGCTCATTGGGAGAGCAAGCATGCACAGAGCCCTGGGACTGATCACAAGCACCACTGAAGCAAAAGGAACCAAGTACAAATACATCCTATAACATGGGCAAAGCTTGGGGAAAAAAAAAATGTAGGCCAGCCTGAGAGCTCAGCAGACTAAAGCGCTTGGACAGAGCGCAGCGGTCAGTGTTTGATCCTCGGCATACCGTGCCAGGCGTGCACTGAGACCGAATATGAGACTGGGCATGGTGGTGCACATCTGTAATCCCAGCGCTTGGGAGGCTGAAAACAGGAGGATCACTACAAGTCCAATCCATGTAGTAAGACCCTGTATCCCCTGTATTAAAAAAAAAACACTGGGGAAAAGAAGCAAACACAAAATGCCATGGTATTACATGAATCTATATAAAATGTCCAAACCAGGCAAATCCACATAAAGACAGAAAGTAGTTAAGTGGTTTCGAGGGATGAGGAAACGAACTTAATGTGGACTGAATGTTAATGGGTATAAGGTTTCCTAGTAGGGACAGAATAATATTCCTGAATTACGTACAATAGCTGTGATTGTAAAACCTCATGAATACATCTGTGACTCTGGATTGTATTCTTTAAAATGGTGACTAGAATAAGCAAAGCCATCTCAATTTAAACATGTGAACAGATAAAAAACAAAACTGCTCACCTGCCCTTCTTGTGGCGCCAAACAACGAACAACTTCATCCACCATTACTGGAACATGCAATTTAGCCGCTGCATCCGAATCTCTGTTTTGAGATGTGTGTAATTCCTGAGTTCCAGTTTGACCTGCTTGCTCTTGGGCTTTATATTCATTACACCTTCTTGCTGTAGTGTGTAATTTTCTTTGCCAGACACCTAAATTAACTATGTCAGATTCCAACCAGTATGAAAAACACTTTTTATATGGTCTACAAAAATACAGGTACCGAAGCATTCTGTAGATCAACAAATCTAGGAAAAAAGAAATTCAAAACATGGTAATTGTTGGGGGTTTTTTATTTTGTTCTGTTTTTAATAAAACAGTGCTAAGATACTTGGGAGAAAACGAATGTGCACTGACACATCACCAGTTGGGACTCTCGATCTGAGCAAGCGAAGGTGACTAACCACCTTCCATGAAATAAGGAGCCTGAGTAAATGCAGAGACATAACTTAAATATGAATGTTAGTATGGTCTAACAAGGTCTAAAACCATTAAGGCTTTGCTTTAACCAGCAAGGATAAGAAAATTGGTTATTCAGTCATTTTTTTGTGAAATACACATTTTCAAACCTTAACTCTAAAGAATGGTTTCAATGAGTTAAAATTATCTATCTAGATCTAAAGGGATGACAAATATCCTAGATTATAGTCAGATGGTCTTTTATTACTTTTTATTTATGTATTTATTATTATTGTGTGTGTGTGTGTGTGTGTGTGTGTGTGGTACCAGGGACCAAACTCAGGACCTTGCACTTGCCAGGCAAGCACTTATTTTCAGTGAGCTATCTCCCCAGCCCCCTGGCCTTTTATTTCTAGCTTTTGTTTGCTTTCCTCATAATGCAAAATTCTCATATTTGTACTAAAGATCCTTCCTGGGAAATCACTAGACATGCAAGTCTAAAAGGAAAGGAAGATGGTCAGTCTGTGAAAATCTTGTGGGTTCATTGTGGTCAGTCTCTGAGGAAACATCTTAACAGAGCCCGCATCACTTATAGACATATACACGCTCATCAGAGCACACCTTGGCTTTCCACACCAACGCTGCTGTTCATTTGCTCAGATGCTGTGGGGGTGCCAGGAACTGAAGCTGGAGTCTGCTGGTCCTGAGCACATATCTTTACCTCAACTAACTCAGCTCTGTCTGCTCCCTCTACTCAAAAATTAATTGAACAATTGATACATTTCTTGATCTTCTCCTGCTGGCTCCATTTTCTTCTACAAGTTGCAATTCTTTTAAATGCAAAGGTGAAAAGTTATTTATGAAATACTAACAGCAGATAGTCTGAAAACATTAAACATTATATCCAACTACTCTGAAGGAGTGTTTTTAATATAAGCAAAATACCTAGTGAGCACTATTCTTCTTTCCTCATGGATTATGAGTTAAGATCCATACCTTTGTATCCACAAAATCAGATGTACACTAAGTGGTTAATAACATTTTCCTGGTGGGTGGGGCATATAGATAAATTCTAGTGCTTACAACATACACACTGTTAGCAATCTTCACTGTAGGAATTTTCACCTAAGTGATCCTACCAAAAACCATGTGTTCTCTAAATTCTTCAAGAAACACATTCAAACTAAATGTCTCCATTTATTTTACTTTTGTTTTTTTCCCCAGACCTTGTGCTTGCCAGGCAGATGTTTTTGCCACTGATCTATATTCCCAGTCCATTCATTTACTTTTCATCAGAAAATACAAAGAGCAAAACAAAGCAAAACAAAGCACTTTGCACATATATACATTACATAATCACAAACAGCAAAACAAAGCACTTTGCACATATATACATTACATAAATGTAATTTGAACAAGATATTATTTGAGGATAAAAGATGCCAACTTTACTAAAGAGATAATACAATGAATTATGTGGCATCATGACATAGAAAAAAACTGGCAAAAAGAAAGTAGATTAGAAATGAGGGGTTTGTTTTATTTTCGGATCCAGGATGTTTATTGCGGGTGCCAGCTGCGCAGTGGGGCTCATGCACTGTAGGCCACAGTAGAAACGAGTTGTTAAGGGTAGGCCAGAGAGCTCAGTGGATTAAAGCGCCTGCTTAGGCAAACGCTGGGGCCCAGGGTTCCATCCCTGGTCTGCTGTGCCAGCCCTGTCCCTGGGGGGTCCTGCTGGGATAAAACTGAGACTGGGTGTGGCAGCATGTGTCTGTAATCCCTGTAATCCCAGTGCTTGGGAGGCTGAAAAACAGGAAGGATCAATAAAGTCCAATCTGTGCTGCAAGGCCCTGTCGACCTTGTACTAAATATATATATATATATATATATATATATATATATATATAAATGAGTTTTTAAATCTGGATATTAAACAAGGACAAATTAGACAAATTGTTATTTATGCCTTGGGCTTTTGGGAAAGCGCACACAAAACAAAGCTGATTACCCCATAACTTAGTAATGGCTTTCAAAATAGTGTCTAATATTTATTTAGCATTTAGTGAGTACCTACTATACTTACCACATTCTCAATTCTAATTCATTCAAATCTTACAGTCCCTTTCGAAGGTTCGTATTATTTCATTTTACCAAAAAAGGAAAATGGAGATAGTAAATAACTTGCCAAAAATTACATAAAGAGCCCTCGAGGAGTCTATTCCCAGAACCTGTAATCTCCCCATGCCATAAACAAAACTCACTAGAACGATTTTGCAAATTCATGTAATTTAATGACTTTAATTCTGTTGACTACATATGTGAATCATCTCATCATTTGCTTTTCTTTCTTTCTTTCTTTTTTTTTAAGGAAGCAGCAGCCTATGGCTTGGCCTGGCTCCACTCATAAATGATGGAATGCTGCGGTGTAGGCAAAAGAAGACACTCGATAAAGAGCTCTATATTATAGAATCTGGAGTATTATGGCAATGTACACCCTACGTGTAGATTTCAATCATCTTAAAAAACCATCAATTCCAACGCGGGCATCAGAACTACCTGAGGAAAGGCAAGCAACGCTGCAGCCACCCAAACAAACGCTATCATGCTTTTCAATGCTTTTCAGTCTTTACGTACTTTTTCAATTATGCTCAAGGTACAAGGCCTAAAGATTTTATCATGAACGAACTAGCCCCTAAGTTAGGTCAGCAAAGAGAGGGCTACGAACGACTCACCCTCCTCTCGGGTGCTTCTCTGATCACGCCTGAACGTGGGGTGCGGGGAGGCGCCTCCCCTTCCACTGAGTTAGGGCTGTCCGCGTTTCCTCTCACAGACCGAGCAGCAGGGAAGCGGGGTCCACACCGGCTGTGCGGCCGCCCGGAGGCCCCCGACCTCCAACTTCTCAAAGGTCGGTTCGCGGGGAGCCCGAGCCCCGCCGGCAGCCGGCTGTCGTAGGAAACGAGGCTCGGGCGCGCCCGCTGAGCCGCTCTTCGGGGTGCTAAGCCGGCCCGCCTACTGCGCTCCCTGGAGGGCGCCCCGGGAGCCGACGAGGCTTGCGCGGGGAGGCCAGCCCCCGACGGCAGGGAGAGTGGAGGGGTCCGCCCTGCCGCGCTGGGACCCGGCGGGGCCCGCTTCAGGCCAGGAGCCGGCGGGCGGGCGCTCCCCGCCGCACACGAGGGCTGCGGCCTCCGCCGCCTTCTGCTCACCTGAAGAGCCGGCGGCCTCGGACTCCGGCCAGAGGTGACCACTGCTGCCGGCGAACCTGAACTTTCCCGCCAGTCGTCCCAGACGCGGGGGAACCTGGCACGGACGGACAGGCCGGGCCCACGTCCGCCCGCAACTGAGGCCCGCGAGCTTTTGGTTCCGGGGCTGCGAAAGGTCCCTGTCATACAAATAGGCTGAGATTTGCAAAGGACTTGGGGGGGAGGGGGGTCACCATTCTCATGGTTAAAATCGCTTTTACTTTTACACACACACACACAGTGTGTACTTTATTTTCTGTACTTTGGTTTACTATGAAAACACATTAAATTTGAATTCTAATACCATGGCAGTTATATAGTATTCTAATTACTAACAAAAGGTGGAAAATCGTTCCTTCTTAGCTCCGGGCATTCAGAATATTTTTGTTCTTTATATCCTTCATTTAGTTACAAAATACGCCATTGTCTTATCCTGTGTTATAGCTCCTGAATGTCTTACCAAACAAGAGAAGTCAGCTGGCACATTAATGGCATTGACTATAGTGCCAAAAATCTCTCTGCTTGGGGCTAGAGAGATGGCTTAGTAGAATCAGTGCTTGGCTGGCAAGCGCAAGGGTCTGAGTTCAATCTCTGGTTCTGCAAAACAAAAACAAACAAACAAAACTGCTACACAGCCAGCATAGCCCTAAATTGAAATTTAGAGTACAGTCAGTACTTGGAAGAGGTGTGGACATAACTGCAGGACTATGCAGCCTACACAACATGGATGCCAACATAAGACAAAACTGAAACACTTCTGTTTACTTAATCCTTGATGATTAAAGCAATTTCATAAGAAAATGGAATGACAGGTACACTTTCAGACTTCAGTAAGGCATCATTTTGCTGTCACTTGACCCACAATGTATTTCCGAGATAGCTCAATTCTAAATGGGCCTCTATGTACAATTAAAAACATATTTTCCTTGAGGGATTTTATGAAATACCAATTTTCTATCACCAAAATGTAACAGCACAGCAGTCCCTCACTTATCATGGAAGATACGTTCCAGGCATGCCCACAATAAGTGGCAATCAGCGAAGTAGCGACGTTATACTTATTTTAGCATTTATATAGATTTTTTAAGGCTTTATAAACCCTTACTACACTCTTACAAAACTTTCCCACACTTTTAGAAGCACTTCCAATGTTCTTAGCCATTTTCTAAACTTGTAAATCTACATAATTTTAACACTATACCTATACTGTATGGTACTGAAAAATCCCGCGATGTAGCGAAAAATCTGCCATATATAATTCAGATTAATATTTATTGAAAACCGGTGAAACAGTGAGTCGGCAAAAGTTGAGCTGCAAAATAACGAAGGACTACTGTATGTACATCTCATGATTGTTTTGCGAATCAAGATATTAACATATGTAATGAATAAAAGCCCAAGACATCAATGGTAAAAAGCTAGTGCAGACATATGTATAATAAAATAAAGGATTCTCAACTTTAATCCATCACCACAAAACTATTGCTAGCTAATATACATATACTACAACCAGAAATAAGTGACTTTATTGGAGGCTTACCCAGTGTACGTACACATAGCATTACTTAATACAGTGCTCCTGATTTCTTTCACTAAATGTAAAATATAGGTGTTCCACATGCTTTTTTCACTCACAATTCTCTGCAATCATATATCCTATGTATATAGTGATGCTGAATTCCTAAGCTATGAAGTCCAGGAGCACAGGGAGTTAACTTCACAGCTTATTATGCTGTGTCCATAACCTACTATCAATATTTGCTGCATGAATACACGCAGTGATGTAAAGAAAAACAGATCAGTTCAAATATATGTAAAATATCCTGAGGAGCCAGGATATAGCTCAGCGCAGGTTTGCCTAGCACACATGGCCTCGCTCCTGGTTAGGCTCTCTTCACAGCTAAAAAAAAAAACAGAAAAAATACAATAAAATAAAAATATCCTTACAAACGAAAAGGAGTTATCTCAGCATATCCATTTCCTTTTCTTTCCCAGACACTCATTTTCTCTTGTCAAAATGCAGTCTGAAACAAAACATACATCTGAGACTTAAAAATTGCTCCACCCAATAGGAAACCAGGTCAATTTCTCCGACTGAATGTGTTTCCTACTGCAGTCTTTGGACACTGTAACAAAAGCAGCAGCACAGGGGACAGCCCTAGTGGGCTCGGGGCTGGACATGGTCCTCCGGAGAAACGAAGCCATGGGGCCGGGAGCCAAAGGGCAGGACCAGCTAGTGAGGTAGGCCCCGCCGCTCCCAAGCAGGAGCTGCAAGCCAGAGAGCGCTCCCCGTCAGGCGGTGCACCAGAGCCCACTAGTGCACCCCACCGCCACCCCGGGCTCTGAGGAACCGGTCCTTGCGGAACTGTCTTCCAGCTGGCGGGTTCCCGCCCGCACCTGCGGCTAGCCACGCCCACTCCGGGCCCCGCCTCCGGAAACGGCCGCTCGCGTTGCCACGGCGACGGGCTAGCGAGCGCCTTCTACTCGCCGCGCTACAGAGTCTCTGGGCTTCTAACGGCGGCGCGCAAAGGGGGTAACGTCCGACGTGGTGACGTCACAGTAACGACAGCGAATGAGGCGCAGAGGCGAGCAAACTGGCTTGGGTTTGAATCTGTGGTGGAGTGTGTGGCGCGCCCGGAGGCGGATATTGGAGCGCGGTGGTAACGGAGCTGTCCTGTGGGCCTTGGGTGAGTGAGAGGTACTGGGGGAGGGCAGTCTGAGCTCAGGACGCCCCTTCAGGCCAACGACTTTGCTGGAAGCGGGGGTCCGGCGCCTTGGATCTACGGGAGCGTTGGGACCTGCCTGAGGGTGGGGCGGAGCTGGGGGGTCTCAGAGGGGAAGGCGCGGGCCCAGGACGCCGATCTGGCCCTGCACTGCCCGCCCCCGCGGCAACGAGAGGAAGGCGGAAGTTTTAAAGGGCATCTTGGGTCCCTTTAAAGGGACCTGGGTTGTCCAGCACCGTGCGGCAGGAGGTCCTGCCCGACTCCGGGGCCCGCGCTCCTCCGTGCGGCTGTCCTGCGGGGCTCTGCTGTGGGTGGAGCGGGCTCCGGCTGCAGTGGTCGCGCAGGTCGGGGCGGCGAGGCTGCGAGGCCTGCCCTGTGTGCCTCGGGGACCCAGCGGGGCCAAGCCCTGCCTCCGACGTGCCGGTCAGGCCGAGAATCATACCGCCCGCCTTCTGCTCTCAGATCTGCAGAACTTTCCCTGTTGGCGCCCTGTGGACTCCCAGCTACAAAAGACCCACGGGTGTCCGCCGTCCTTTGCTACAGGAGAAGCACGTACCTGACCGGGATGTGCTCGTCTGTTGTAGGAAACTAGTTTAGATCGCAGGCTGTGGGACAGTTGGTCGCATGGGTTCGGGTTTTGGCATGTGACCCGACTATGGTGCTGGAGAAGACCAAGTCTGAAGACCAGGTTTGTTACTTTTTATTACTTTGTAAGGCCTATTTCAGGAAACAAAGACGTCTGCTCTTAACAATTGTTAATCTCCTAAATTATTGAAGAACTATTTACACTTTGCCACACTGCCCATATACCTTGAGTCAATGAAGATAAACAACAACATGGCTTGGTTACAGACATAGTAAATGAGGAGGGTTCACAATCCCTAAAAATGTTTGTTGAGTTGGAATCTAATTCAGATTTGAGTCTGTATTTAAGGAATGTTTTCTAGTTGTGTTCTTCAATATTGTATCATTATCAGGGCCTGTTCTGTTCTGATTCCAGTAGAGCACAGTTAGGAAGAACATGGGCTGTGTATGTGGACCACCACTTTGTGGCCCCCCGTCGCTGTGTCATTTGGCAAAGCTAACAATCCTACAGTTACATCCTTGTGCTTCTGAAACAATAGAACCTACCTTACATGATAAGCACTCAATGAGGTGATGAATGGCAGATGTTTGCCATAGTGCTTGGCACATAGAATACACTCAAACCATCATCTTTTTTGCTCATTACCACTAATTATCACCATTTTTACCTAATCCGGGTGTTCTTAAAAACATGTTTTCCAAGAATGGCTTCGATGTGATACATGACAAGTGGATTTCAACATCTGTCAAAAGTAGACTGGATCTGAATTACAGGAGAAATGCATAAATGTTAGTCTACAGGTACAGAACTTAAGTTTATAGCATGAACAAGTCCCTAGGAACCCATGCACAGTGTGGATGATAGTTTTATTAAATTTTAAAATACCAAAAAAAAAGTACTAAAACATTTAGAGGGCTGGCCAAATAGCTCAGCATATTAAAGCACTCTGGGACACGCTGAGATGGAGCTTGAGAGTGGGCGTGGTGTGCACCTATAATCCCAGCTCTTGGAAAGATTGAAAACAGGAGGATTACTACGAGTCGGATCAGCATAGTGAGACCCTGTAGGCCCTGTACTAAAATACAAAAAAAAAGGAATTTAATTGTGGTAATCATTATACAGTGTATACATAAATCAAGTCATCATACTGTATGCCTTCAATATATGCAATTGTCATTGTCAAATATTTTAAGCTTGTTTTTTTTTTGACAATACTGGGGATTGAACTCATACTTGGTTGTGGGGTTTTTTTTGTTTTGTTTTGTTTTTGTTTTTTTGGTTTTTTTGAGACAGAGTCTCACTGTGTAAAAAGTTAAGGCTAGCCTTGAGCTCACTTTGTAGCCCAGGCCGGCCTCAAATTCACAACCATCCTCCTGCCTCAGCCTCCCAAAATGTTGGGATTACAGACAGGTGCCACCATACCCAATCTTTGTACTGTTTTTTTCTAATTATACATAAAATTGGTAAAATTTTGAAGCTATAAAAAGAATTTGTAAACCGCAGTGTTGTGCAGATAACAATATCAGTCTTCTCTCTTTCAAAAGCTACTGCATATGCTTTTGCTGCTTCTGTCCTTAATCATGAGCAAGGAGTTTGTTCTCTGGCCCTTGATTCTGAATCACCTGTACAGTGCATCTGTTTCTTTTAGTCAGCTGTGTTACAAAAGAATGAAGGCATCGTGTTTTAATATGGGAATAATCTTGTTGATCCCTAAAGATGTCAGCACATTTGCACCAATTTTTACTTATCCTTGTGGTTTGTGCCTGAATGTCCTCCTTTAGGACATGCAAGGCAGACTTTTCCAAGGCAGCTGAATATATAGAGCGTGTGGAGTTTGTTGGTGTTGTTGTTGTTTTGGCCTTTTTGAGAGGGTTTCACTATGTTGTTCAGGCTGGCCTGGAGCTCACTTCGTAACTCAGGTTTCCAATACTGCCTCAGCCTCCCAGAGTGCAGGGATATTGATGTGCATTGCCATGCCCAGATAGTGTGTAGTTGTTTCGTAGTGCAGTTTTGTAACCAAGTGTGCTAGCAGGATTAAGGGCAGGCGATTACTGCCTGAATCAGTCCACTGATTGGATTGGTACTGCCCTAATCCCAGCAGTCTAGAGAAAATAAATGAGTCAGAAAGAGGCTTGTTTCTGTCATCCTTGTTGTTTTTGCTGTTTTCAGCTGCCAAGAATGGTTGCTACCCTGCTTTGAGGCCAGCTGATTATGGACTAAGACCTCTACAAACTGAGCTAAATAAACCCTTCCCTCTTTAACATTGGGTATCAGTCATTTTGTCTCAGCAAAGAGAGAAAAGTAACTGATAACCCTTTTCAGAAAGTTACTTTATTTTGAGACAGTATTCTAGCTGTGATGTCCAGGCTGCTATCCAACTTTGGAGCTAAGAAAGATCTTCCTGCCTCAGTCTCCTAAATAATTGGGTGTACAGGCGTATACCATATGACCCTGCTTTAATTTTACACTTTCGTGACTCTGTTGGCTTTAAGCGTCTTTATTAAGAAAATTGAAGCTTGGAATGTCATTTGGTGATAGAACGCTTCCTTGCATATTATGCACATGCAAGGGCCGGGGCTCAATCCACAGTTTAAAGAGAAAGAAAGGGGGAGAGGAAGTTTATTTCCTCATTTATTCTTAAAAAGAGAATGTAAAACTTTAAAAATTAAGGTCTATAACTTTGTTCAGATCTCCAACAAGTTGGGAAACAAAGTTACATTTGACATACTTAGCTCCTTGAGGTCACTGTCAAAGCCTCTCCCTGAAATGTTACTTCAGGAACACCTACTGGCATCTGAAGTGATCTTGCTGATTCTTAAGTAATTTCAAATCCAAGTCTAAATTCTTCAGGCTTGGATTCCAGATCTTCAAAACTCACAACGTCCAGTTTTATCTTTTTAATGTAGCCTTCTTTTCTCTCTATTCTCTCTAATCTAGTCATTACAGAAGAAACCAAAGATTCCCATGAGCCTTTCTTGAATTACTGTAGATAAAACTACATCCATTCCTACAAAACTGAATTTAAAAAACCAAAAGACTGAGTCAAATTGACCCTTGAGCAAGTTAGCTTGTGTTCTTACACTCACCACTTGAAATACTTATGACCCAGGAAGTCACCATCCCACCGGAGACACTTAGAAGAGCTGAGAATCTTGTCCATCTAAAGGAGTCTGCGCATGCTTCTGACTCTATATATCCCAGGCCCAGAGCAGTTGAGGCCATTCAGTAAATGGCTATAAAAACATAACTAGTTTTCTTCGTAAGATGCTTTTACCTAGTAACTATCTGTCCTTCATCTCTCAGTGGTCACTTCCTCTAGGAAACTTGACTATACTAATCTAGCGTTATACACTTCATAACATGCATAATCTTCCTCCTGTAGTACTTGTCGGAGTTAACACCTCTATGTGTGTGTCAGTATGGATGCCCACTTCCCTTAGTGCACTGTAAAGAGCAGCAGTAACAAACACCTGTAACACACTACAACTCTGGGTCAGGCATTGTGCTGAGGCATTAGTCCTTTCTTGGGCTAAAATAACCCTGGTAAGTAGGTACTGCCATGTCCATCTTTACCAATGAGAAAAGTGAGCCATTGTTATAGGTGGTCAGCAGTAGAGCTAGGGGTAAGGTTGTTTGAGACAGGGTCTTGCCCAGGCTGGGCTTGAACTTGAGATTATCTTGCCTCAGCCTCCATTGCTGGCATTGCAGGTGTGAGTCACCAGGCCCAGCTTTGTATTTGGAGTGTTGAGAGACAGGGTTTTGCTATGTACTTCAGAGTAGCCTTGAACGTATGTGTATCCCAGGTGGCCTCGAATTTGTAGGGATCCTCCTGCCTCCACCTTCTAAGCTCTAGGGTCACAGGTGTGCACTACCACCTCCTGCTTAGAGCTGGTAATTAAACCTAAGCCATCTGACTCCAATTAACGTCTGTCTGCTGAAGTCAAAGCATTGTTGAATATTTCAAGAAGGGTTAGAAATACTTGGCTGGGCTGGGCTTGGGCTTCAAGGGAAAGTGGGAGACCATGCACCTGTTGCAGACAGAAAAGAAGTGTGCATCTTCTGTACCAGCGGCTGTTTGAGAGAAGGCAGACTGGGAGGCAGATAGAGAACAGATGTTTCTCAAATTCTTGATGACTCCCCTTCATCACAATACTATGAGCTACAATTCTCCTTTTTCTCCCTTTGTAGTCCTGTTGGCTTTGAACTCCCGTGTAACCTGAGCTGCCTTGAACTCAGGCTCCTCCTGCTTCAGCCTCTGGGTCTGGAATGGTAGGGGTGTAGCCCCACACGCAGCTTGTTACCTCTTGTCTACAAATGGGAGGTCTGTGACCCACACAAGGTCCCCAAAGCAGGCCTAGATGCCTTATGGGAATGGGCTAGACAAAAAGTCAAGGGTGAGGAAGAAGAAGAAGACCATCATTTATGTGGGACCTAAGTGAGAATCCCAGTTGTAGGCATGGCTGCTTCAGAATTCTATTACTGGTTAAAAACAGAGTCCTAAAAAGGCAGAGCTGATTCCTACACCTGAGACGTGTGTGTGTGTGTGTGTGTGTGTAATGGGGGATTGAACTCAGGCCCTTGTGCTTGCCAGGCAAGCACTTATTCTACTAAGCTATTGCCCTGGCCCCCACCTGAGACTTTAAGATTACTTTGGTATTATTTGAATCAAGTCCAGAGATCTATGGTTTTGTGACATTGTTTAGCTTTATGTTGACACTATTTCTCCCGTTATACACACACACACACACACACACACACACACACTAAGTCCCTGTTGCTGCTCTTCCTGCCCCCTTGCCTAGTCCCTGCTTCTTCATTTTCACTCCAGGTCCTGTCAGTCTCCTGCCCACAGGTCTTTTCACACACAGAGTTTGTCTACACCACTTCCCTGGTGCCCCAAGTTGGTTTCTCAATCCTATGGTTAATTCTCAGGAACTACTTGACTTACTGTGTTTAAATACATAGTTGATCACTGTCTCCTTGATTTAATGGTTCCCAAAATTCCTAAGGCAGTTCTAAGCTGTTAAAAACTTTAAAAACTCAAACTCCCTTGAGATGCTAAGGAAAGACTTTGCTGCCCTAAACTTTCCCCCTGAATCTCTGTAAGCTCTTAAACTACGCATGTGTGAACTGTGCTGCTGGTGTCTTTACCACACAGTACCTCTCCCTGTTCCACTCCTGTCACTTTGGTCTCCCTGGATGGCTATTCCATTTTCCCAGCACACTCTGTCTTTCTTCATAACCTGCATGTCCCTCTCAGAGGAGTCTGTTGGCTTTATTCTCAGAATTGGCCTGGAGTCCAACTTCCTAGACCTGCCATCAGCCCAGGTCGGAGCTACCATCATTTCAGTACTCGAATCCACCAAAAATGCATGCACACTTCAGGAAAGGAAGAACTCACATAAGTAGTTTCATACTCAGTTTATGGTGACATCTCAAGATGAGACAAGACAAGTTATCTTTGCTCTCTACAATGACAGCACGCGCTCAAAGCAGTAGTTGTTAGCTTCCGGCCATTTATGAGTACAGTGTACTGCTGTGGGGTCACCTCTACCCTGAGATCACTGTGTACCCACATCTAATTTCTTGTCTAAGGGCCATCAGTGTAGGTGGGCTTTCTGCAATTTATGCTGTCCTCTAGGGTCCCTCGTACGAAGGGTGACACTATCTATCGGAAGCACATCATTTTTCCTTTCCTGAACATTATTTTTCTTTTCCTGAACAGTATATTCATTTTTTTGACAGAGTCTGTCTTTCAGAGGACTAATCACTGTTTCCAGTGAGAGTGATGAATGACATTGTCACTCCCATACTCACTCAGAGCCTTCCGAGGCAGTTCTTTGTCTTGTTCAGAGGGTAAGCTGAAGGTCTTGAGCAGCCTGCGATATCTGCATGTGCCTACCTCTGCTTGCTCCCTCCGTTGTTCTTCCCACTGGCCCTTTTCTGTGAGAAAGTCCATCTCGGTGTGTGCTTGACCTCATCCCTCTCCAGCTTCAAGTCCTCACTCACATTCTGTTGTCTTCTGGTGTTTCCTTTTTTTTTTTTTTTTTTTTTTTTTTATTTAGGACAGGGTGTCCAGGGTCTCACTGTGTAGATCAGACTTAGAGTGATCCTCCTGTTTACAGCCTCCCAAGAGCTGGGATTACAGGCGTGAACCACCACACCCAGTCTCAATTGCCATCTCAGTTGCCATCTCAGCACACTCCAGGGGTAGGGCTGGCATGGCAGGCCAGGGGATCAAACTCCCAGCCCCTGCTTCTGTCTAAGCAGGCGATTTAATCCTCTGAACTATTTGGCTGGCCCTGGTGTGTTTCTTAATTGATAGATATAATGGAATTTATTTATGAAGTACAAGGTGGTGTTTCACATGCATGTACTGCTGACCGAGCAGATCAGGCTTATAAACATACTTCACCTCTTGGACCTCTGTGGTAAACATTTAAAGCATGTGACTTAGCACATATAGAATACACAGTGCATGTTGTGCAGTAACTGGTCACCAGAACATCTTCCTGGAGTATCACAGGAATTTTGTATGCTTTGATCAGGATTTTCCCTTTCTCTGCCCATCCCAACCCCCTCGCCTCTGAGGACTGACATTCAACTCTATTTTTATTTGCCTAGTGCAGATTCTACCCCAAAATGAGATCATATGATATTTTTCTGTGCCTGGTTTGTTCTACTTAACATAGTGTCTTCTAGATTCATCCATTTTATCAACAAGTGCCTGGACTTTATTCTCTTTAAGACTGAATATTATAATTCTCCAATGTGTATATGCACGTTTTCTTCACCCATGTTTTGGTAAGCAGTTATCTCCATAGCCTGCCCTTTGTGAGCATGACACAGTGGACACAACAACGTCCCGGAAGTGGGGTTCCTACTAACTCCGTCACCTTCATGTTTGTAGTCTAGAATGTTGTGGATAGTTGAGATTTCTAAGTTACTGATCTTTGTAAATCTACTTTTCTTCTTTTCATGTGAAGTAATCATTGAAAAGCTCATAATTTTTAAACCTATCATTACTGATATTCCTTAAAAGGGTGCATCGTTAGGAAATGGGAACCTATGAACTCTTATTTTGGCACTAGGATTTCTAAATACACCACGGGGTCCCTGCCATTTCTATCCTCTCCAACCTGAGGAGCTCCTGCTGAGCTACTTGATGCACCTTTGGAACTGTTTGTAACCCATGTGTCTCTGAGGCACAGCCGGAGACCGACCTGGATGTCTCATTTTCCACTGCCAAGAGGCTGGCAGCCAAGATGCTTTTACTAAAAATAGTTCCCGAGCTAACGCTCTGCCACCCTTACCCTGATGGAGTGCGGAAAGCTTCTTTCCTGGCCTTTCGCACCACCCAGGTGAGAACTGTGCTGCAGCCGTGGTGAACTTCAGAGCTGAGTGTGGAATGGTGGGGCTACAGGTGCAGTGTTTAAATTTAAACTGAAGCTGAGGGTCTGACTACAAGAAAAAATATTGCCATCATGCTTTTCTGTGTGTGTATGTGTACCATTTAATTTTTTCCTTTAGGTAATTTAATTATGTATTTTCCCAGGTGAGTAGAACAGGATCAGCACCTCTTTTTGAGTGAATATTACCTGCCCATTAGAGGTAGAATATTAAAACTTCATTCTTCTTTTTGATTTCAGAAATATTTGGCATTCTTATACACAGAAATCAGGATAATCAATAATGTCTGTCCCTGAGGAGGACTTGTGTCACCACATGAAAGTAGTTGTTCGTGTACGTCCTGAAAACACAAAAGAAAAAGCAGCAGGATTTCATAAGGTGGTCCAAGTTGTGGATAAACATATATTAGTTTTTGACCCCAAACAAGAAGAAGTCGGTTTTTTCCCTAAAAAGAAAACTTCAAATTTTGATATTTCAAGGAGACAAAATAAAGACCTTAAATTTGTATTTGATACTGTTTTTGGTGAAACTTCAACTCAGTTGGAAGTTTTTGAACACACTACCAAGCCAATTCTTCGCAGTTTTTTGAATGGATATAATTGCACAGGTAATTTTTTCAGTTTATTTCTCTGTTTGATTTCATTTTTACATAGGAGGGACATGTACTTGATCCTTCCTTCTAAATATAGTCAAATTTCAGGTACTTGTATGCTAAAAAACTTTTTAAAGAAATGAAGGACTACTTTTAAGGGTAGACTGTCTGTTTCATTTTTGAAACTTTTCTTTTCCCAGGGCCTTGCTGTGGTCCCTGAGGATAGTCCTGGCATTTTCCTGTATCATTAAATTGTGTGCTTTGTGCAATTGATGATGTCAGATTTCTTATAACTTATTTTCATAAATATTCTCACTGCTTAACTGTTTAATTGTATCCCTGGTGAGCAGTTGAACATTTTGAACACTGGGCAGCTTGTTGCACGGCCATTTTTGTCTAAAGTACTTTGAACTAAATCTGTTAAATCTCCATTACAGTTGAATATCTGATATTATTTTAGCTTATCTTCAACCCAAGAAGCATCTCTAATGCTTTGGAGAGGCTATAATCTGCCTTCCAAAATGCCGTATTTGATTTCTCAGTAAAGGATATATGTCAAATGGCTAGTTAATTCAGTGATTACAAGTACAGTTCAATGATTGAACACCATTATTAATATCTTAATTTTGCAATTATCAATTTTTATATTTTCCACAGGAATTCCATAGCTCTACCATATTCCGTCTCTCATTTTATTTTTGTTTGTATGTTTGAGACAGGGTTTCACTATACAGTTGAGAATGACCTCGAACTCACTACATAGCCTAGACTGGCTTCAAACTTGCAGTGATTCCCCTGCCTCTGACTCCAGAGTGCTGGGATTCGTGATGTGCACACCATGCCCAGCTGATATTTTATTTTTATCACAGACTTACTCCCTTGATCATTTACAGTTAAAATACAGTTTGATGATTAAAACTGGTATGATTCTCATTTGAAGAATATGTTCCTTTCCTTCATAAAATTTCATATAATCTCTAGAAATTTTTAAACCCTTCCTTTTTTTTTGACTCCCAAATATCCAGCTGTCCATTTATGTCAATTAGAATCAAGTAAAACATAAGAATATATGAGAATTTAATGCTTTAATTATTTTCCTAGGTGTTTGCTATTTATAAATCAAAGAGTAGATTATTTTATGCATTTGAAGAAAGTATAGTTTATGTTGTACAGGAGAGGATATTGAAAACAAAATTATTTGTGCAAAACAAGAATTTAAAAAGCAATTATGTAATATCCTTTATCTGAATTCATTTATGTACTAGTTTGTATCATGTTACATGGGGTACTGAGGACTTTGGTGCTGGGCAGCTCACAGTTGGAAGTACCTTTTGGTACAGCCAGGAGAGAGGGGTCTGGGTGGTCCCCTGTACTGAGCTTTGACTGAGGGAGTAGACAGACTCCTGTGATGATCAGGAAAGGCACAGAAAATGACTTGAGTGCTAAGTGGAACCAGGTGGTACTGATTGGGTTTAAAGTTACTGTTTAGGGTACCCAGACGGACGTATCCCCTGGACAGTGGAGATCAGAATCTTGTGTGTCATAATGAAGAGCTTTGATGCCTCTCCATAAAAATTCAGTACTTGCATATGGCGCCACGGGAGCTGGGAAAACCCACACGATGCTGGGATCAGCTGCTGAACCTGGAGTAATGTACCTAACAATGTTAGACCTCTACAAGTGCATGGATGAGATTAAAGAAGAGAAAATATGTAGCATTGCAGTTTCTTACCTGGAGGTAAGTTGGCAATGTTTGTAGACCAATGGCTGTTTTTGAGAAATTGCTCATTCACATTACGGTCAAACCCTGGATTGCGAGTAACTTGGTGCACGGCTGTTCTGCATGGTGAATGAGCGTTTCTGAGAAATTTTAATTTGGTAAATGAGTGACGTCTTGCAACTAGCACATCATGCCGAACATGACACGATCACAACTGGTTCTTCTCTCCCTATGTCTCTCATACTGTTTTTACCCACAAGTGCTTTAGATTATGCATGGAACAAGTTCTAATGTATTTTATTACATAAGAATTTTCTCAGAGGTTATAAAACCATTAAAATTCTTGTGGAGGGTAAACATTTTTAAATGTATCTTGCTCTGTTTTCTGTTTTGTTTTGTTTTTCTGGGAGGGCATAGTCTCAGACATACAGGGAAGTTACAAAATAGTATAAAAAACCTCCAGATACACTTGACAGTAATATCCCATTTTACTACATTTGCTTTTTCTGTGTATGCATTTGTTCTAAAACTGTTTAAGCTGTGAACTTATGAAAGCAGGAAGTATTCTTCAATAACCACTGAATAATCATCAAAATTAGGAAATTAATGATATTGTCAACTCGATTGACCTTAACGAAATTTTGCTAGTTATTGGCTAATGCTGTATGTGATGGAAAACTAAGATCAAGATTAAGTTCATTGTGCTCTCTCGAGTCCCCTTTAATGTGCAGTGTTTTTTTTCTTTGTGACGCTTTGTGCTTTATGACACTGCCATAGACTCTTCAATTTGGGTTGGCACAGATTCAGATTGTACAGTGGCAGAAACAACACAAGTTTTTTAGGTTTTTACTGCTTTATGTCAAGATGTCTGGCTGGTTGGCCGCATTACTGGCAATTTTAATTTCACTTATTTTATTTTGGGAACATTTGCAAGATTTTCCACTAACGGTACCGCTTCTTCTTACAATTAATAAACCCTGTGGGGAGACGATGTGAATGTCCTCTTCTCCCGCCAGCGTATATCCGTTAGAGTTAGCATCGACTAAGGATGCGTGCATGTAGCAATGTCACTGTGATGGGGATTTTTAAATTCCACCTATTGTTTTCATTTGTTCATTGTCCTTTCGCTGTGAGGAACAGCTTTCCTTTTGCTTTTTAACATCAGTGTGGAGTCAACGTCTCTTATTTTTCAGTAGATGAGAGTCCCTGTCTGCGATCTTTTCTTGTGTGTATGCACTCAAATTGTGCGAGATTTACCTAATGGAGCCTCTTTCGTGGTTCCCGAAGTACCTCTTTGATAGACCCCACTATTTCTTCATGGCCCCTACCGCTTAATAACAGGATTCCGCAAATGGTGTCTAAAAGCAGATGTTCTAACTTAGTGTTTAATAGTGTCTTAGAAACCTGAGCCCCTTCATTCGCTGTGTTGAGTGTTTTTTTGTTTTGTATTGTTTTTTCTGTTGCCAGAAAATTTCTCAGTTTGGTCCCTACTGAGGGAACTTCTTCCAGTGGTTGATTAAAATCATATACATTGTTAAGTTTACCTGTTCAGTGTACAGAAGTTAGAGATAGAAGAGTAAAACTCATTTTTAAATATTAAAAAGAATTGTCCTCAACTGGGAAAAAAGACTATGGTTTTTTTTCTTTCTTAGATTTGTTTTCAACTGGGAAAGGTTTTGAAACTTGGTTATTTTCCTAATTTTTGCAAGTATTCTTTTAATCTGCTAGCACTTTATTAATGACAAGGCAGTGACTGATTAGGCTTTGCCCTCAGGCAGTGCACCAGAACTACCTGTGGCACACTAAACAATCCCTATGGCCATCTCAGCCAATGCTGGGATTTAGCAGTTCTGGGGTGCGGGCGCAGCATCTGTGTTCCTCAGAGGCTCCCACTGAAGCCTGCTGCGTAGCTCAGCTTGACAATGATCTTTCTCTTGAGCGTGGTAAACAGAAAAGGAGAAGCAGTAGAAAAGTGAGTGCCGCCCATCTGCAGAACAGCCGAAAAACTGGCCCCCCGTTTCCAGCGGGGGCCTATCAGTGCTAGAGAATGATCGTGATGGCACAGGTTTGCACTGTGGGCTTTGTGTTAGAACGCAGAAGAAAATACTGTCAAAGACTGGTTTTCGGGGTTTTTTTGGTTCTTTTTCTTAAATCAGTGTCATGATCATTTCTTTGACAAATGTTAAATTGTATACCATTAGTAAATTATGAAGTGGGTGAATCTATTTGTATATGTTACTTACAAAAGTTACTTTTTAGATTTTGCCAAAGCTAGGGAATACAGACTATCCCTGATAGCCCGCAGTAGAGTGCAGTCATCGTGGGGCTTAGCTCATGCAGCTGCAGAAGCGTGTGTGTCCAGTGTGTGTCCATCTTGGTGTCGGTTGAGGAGCAGTGAGGCCAGCACCACCTGCCACTGAGTGTGGGGTTTCTGTCAACGCCTGTTCTCTGGCATTTATGTATTTCTGAGAAGTAAGAAACAGCACCTTAGCCATCTTACTAATCTTTGTTTTACTGCAGTTATTGTCAGAAATTATTAATGACTCAGACTCTTTAAGTTTGCATTTTAAGCCTAAGCAAGCAAACCATTTGTGGCGTGGTAGGAATTTATGGTAATATTATAAAGAAAAGTGAGAAGAATGATAATGCGCTGCTGCTTATCCTGAAAGTAAAGTGCTAATAACCTTAAATCAGCAGTAGGTGTGTGAGGTGGACACTGTTATTTTGACATCAAAGCTAAACCTTTTTTTTTTTTTTTTTTTTTTTTTAAGGTATATAATGAACAGATTCGTGACCTCTTAGTAAATTCAGGGCCACTTGCTGTCCGCGAAGATACGCAGAAAGGAGTGGTTGTTCAGGGTCTGTCTTTGCACCAGGTATATCTATAAACATCTTTTCCTTCTGCTAGCACAGCAAGTGTACCTAGTTAGGCATTATTTATTTTCCATGCTGTTTGAGAAAGAAATTAATAAGTTATAGAACTAAATGATTGGAGTATGTCATAGACTTGCTTTGTTTGCTTTTAATTAAGTGAACTTTTTCCTCCTAAAAATGTGCTTGAAGATTTAACATGTTAAATGCACTAACATGTTTCGCTCAGTGGTGAGGCACTTGCCTATCACGTGTGCAACTCTGGCTCTTATCCCCAGAATAAAAAGATAAACAGAAGAAGAGAGGGAAAGAAGAGTTTATTCAATAATTTCTTTTCCTATCAAAATATCTCTAGCCCAGATCCTCAGAAGAAATTTTACTGCTGCTGGATAATGGGAACAAAAACCGGACGCAGCACCCCACCGATGCCAATGCTGCCTCCTCCCGTTCTCATGCGGTTTTCCAGGTAACACTCCACTGGACTGTCACTCTGAAAATGGAATTGGAAAGGAACAGAGCAGAATGCAGGGTGATGGTTGTTATGCCTAAGGAAAACTTTGTAGACATCTCCACCTCTGACTTTTTCTTCTCCTTTGCAACTTTGGAGAGCATTTTATCATAAGTTAGAATTAAGATGTTTCACATAAAAAAAAAAAAAAATGAATGTTCACCTTATTGCATATAAGATTTCAGAAAAATATAGAATTTATAGGTACGGAATTGTAAAATGATAGTGATACAAGTTTTTTTTAAGTATGTAAAATTTTTTTCTGTAGATACTTAATTCAGAATAAGACTTCAGTCCACGGATCTAGATTTATAGAAACAATTAATTGGATCTTAGACGATACCAATTTTCATTTTAGAAGGTTTCACTATAAAGATCATTAAGTAGCTGTATTTAGTAATTCAACCACATGCATGTTTTAGCAACATAAGTAGGAGCTAAAGCATCAGTGGCACTTCTGTTTATGGTTTCTAGTCTGCTTATATCAAAATGATTGTATGAACCTTCGTCCTGGACTGTGCTGTGTGAGAACTTTTCCCATTTGGGAAGATTCCTTTCCCAGGCAGTCAGCCATTCACATCCTACCAGGTTGCCAAGCTTTCATCGTCTTCTCTTCCTACACTGACTTTTCTTTTTTTTTTTTAATTTTTTTTCTCCATAATTTTATTCAGAAACAAATAGCAATGAAACAGTTTCAAACCAGATTGGTAGGACAGATTCAATAATTAACACATTGCATACATTCTTCCTAGTGTTTAATTGCTGTACAAGATGCAGACATGATATCCTATTTACAAACACTATTACAACAAATACCTCTGTTCATTAATGGAATGTAACTATGTATCTATCCTAACCACTTTGAATACACAGATACAAAATGGACATTCATCTGTATCCCCTTTTTTGTTAAGTTCCGTTATTTGAATATTATAGGTGTATTAACTCAGCAAAATATTCTAAAGGAGTCCAGTAGTTCATAATAGTACTGGGTCTTCCGCTTCACTGGCACTGTCAGAAATTGTTGACCTGAGTCCCCTACAGCTCAACCTAACAGCCTGGCTTTACTTCTTATACTTCATTTTTATACTTTTCTGCTGGATGGTTAAGACCAAGATAAAGCAGATCCTATGCAACAAGAGGATTTGTAGCTTTTGGATCTGATAAAGTCAGTGAAATCCCCTCAGGATTTATCCTGAGATCCCGTACCTCAGATTATAGATCCTTTGTCAGTATTAGCCATGTGGATGAGTCATGGCCATTGCTTGGCCAATATGCTCTCTGTGAAAGCCTGAGAGAATGTTTTCTCTGCATGTGACTCTCCTTAGGCACACTCTACATCATCAATCACTTTCCTCTTTAGCCCCATAATCTCCTTGATCAGAAAATTTGGGACACTACCGAGTTACATGACGTTACAGTACAAGTTCTCATATGTCCTGAGTCTTAATTGACCTTGGAAGGGCCAAAATGTTGGCTTTCCTTGCGGCTCCCCTTTTTCTCTAATTTTGGTCTGTTAAATTAAAAAAATGGCCATTTGTTTGAGATTGCTAACCAAGGGCATAACAGTGCTTATGAAATACTCCACTGAAAGAGAAATAAAACTAGATTTTAGACAAATACAAAAAGATCTAGTAAGAGGATTAGTTATTGTTGTAATAGAAGTATTTAGGAAAAAAACTGCTCTCTGTGAAAGCCTGAGAGAATGTTTTCTCTGCATGTGACTCTCCTTAGGCACACTCTACATCATCGATCACTTTCCTCTTTAGCCCCATAATCTCTTTCATCAGAAAATTTGGGAAACTACCGAGTTACATGATGTAACAGTACAAGTTCTTATATGTCCTGAGTCTTAATTGACTTTTCATTCATCAGTAATTTTGAGAGAAACGTTATCTGTGACACTAAGAGTTCCCTAAGATTGTAGAGCTTGCTTTATAAAAAAAAAGTTGATAAGAGAAATTTATAACATAATAGTAGGGGCTGGGGAGATGGCTCAGTAGAGTGCTTCTCTGGCAAGTGCTTCCCTGGCAAGCACAAGGGTCTGAGTTCAATTCCCGGTTCTGCCAAAAAGAAAAGAAAAAAAAAAAAAAAAAAAAACATAATAGTAGCTTACCCTCTTCATCTCTTAGCACCTATTTTAAAATTTTTCAAAACAATTTAAAATACCTTGAAAAAATTATACTTTTACAAATGACAAGTACATTACTGTCTTTTTATGTATTTCGTGCCTCTAGTGATGGGGACATAGAACAGTATGGAGATACTCTTTACTTTGGATCAGCATTTATGTCATCTTTCCTTTTGGGTGGTCCTAGAGTCATATGAGGTAGTCTGACCACTGCCTCTGTTTTCTTTTAGGAACATTATTTTTGTAGGACCTAGTTGTCCCCATCATCAACTGTGATGATTTTATACTTTGTCTTTTAGCAGTTGAAGAGTTATTTTCCCTCTTAGACTGTGTTAGTGAGCGTTTTATTGCTATAGTAAATGACTTGAGATGATGAACCTGTAAGTGGAAGGTTGATTTTGCCTGATGGTTTTGGAGGGTTCAGTCCATGGTCCCTTGCTGCAGGTGCTTGTAGGCCTGTCTTGAGGCAGCACAGCGTGACCAGGAGCACCTGGAGGGATTAGACTGTGCTTATTTCCAAGACAGAAAACAAGAAGAAAGAGAGTTCAGGGCCTTGCCTCTCAGTGACCAGAAGACCTCCCATTCACCCTCTTCCTTTAGAGTTGGCTCTGCTGTGTTGCTCAGGCAGATCTCATACTTGTTGGGCTCAAACTTTCTTCCACCATCAGCTGCCTGAGAAGCTAGAACTACAAGCCTATGCCACCTCTTCCTGGTAGAACCATGCTGGGGACCCAGCTTCTGCCATGAGATTTAGGTTCTGAGTCAGAAACGGAACGCTTGGTTGGTATATAGAGGGTCCTAGGCTCAGTCCTCAGCAGCAGCTGTCTCCCCGGCCCCTCCACTATTAAATTCAGTCAGATTATAGCTTGTTCAGAACATGTTCGGGATGACAGTAATATTATTTTTCTTTTATGGTACTTTGAAAGAAAAAACATGCTTCTCTTTTAATGTTGTTCAGTCTTATCCTGTTTTTGCTTCTAAAATTTAAGATTTATTTGCGACAACAAGACAAAACAGCAAGCATCAACCAGAATGTCTGCATTGCCAAGATGTCACTCATCGATCTGGCAGGGTCCGAGCGGGCCAGTTCCACCAGTGCTACGGGGACCCGGTTTGTGGAGGGCACAAACATTAACAGGTCCCTTTTGGCACTCGGAAACGTCATCAATGCCTTAGCAGGTACAAAGGTAAACACTCTTCCTTTGTTTGCTAAATATTTTGAAATATTAAAGCATCATTTCCAGAAAGATCCTCGTATCATTTTGTTTTGAAGGCCTGGTGCAAATTATATCTCAAGAGTATATTGATGATTTTTAGATACAGAGCTCAGAGAGTCTGAGCTACCAGAAAGCTATAGGAGGGTATTTTTGTTTCTTTTTGCATTTGTGTTTTGGCAAGATACTGTATTTTTTTTTTTTTTTAATTTTCAGTTTCATACTTAAAATTTACTAAGTGAACATTAAGGATTATCAGATTTGTAATGGATATTGTATGGTACCAAAAAATATTGTATGGTGTTCTTACACTTACTAGGCACTTGTTTGGTTTTTATGTGACAATGCAATAACTGTTATACAGCAAGAATAATAACTAATTGCCATGAAGAGAGGAAAACATTTTAGCTAACAAAAGTCTTTTCTAGGTTACATTTTAAGTGCTGTTAATTTTTCAGGCTATGGTACAACAATACTGTGGTACATTATTCACAGCTAGCAGTGAGCCACTGCTGATATACTGTTTTGTTTTATGGTGAGGTTCATACTTCGATGCAGATATAATCTTTAAATAGGATTTTTGTTTTATCCATTTACTGTACAGTTCTATAATGTATTATTACCATGTCAGTCACCAATTATATCGTAAATGTGCGCCAAGTTGGATAGTGCATAAGTTCTTATAGTGAAGTAGTAGCAGGTTTGCATTTAAATGTGGAAAATGGCATAAGAATTCTTTTTTTGTTCTTTCAGAAAAAGAATCAGCATGTTCCTTACAGAAATAGTAAGCTTACTCGCTTGTTAAAGGATTCTCTTGGAGGAAACTGTCAGACTATAATGATAGCTGCTGTTAGTCCTTCCTCTCTATTCTACGATGACACATATAACACTCTTAAGTATGCTAACCGTGCAAAGGACATTAAATCTTCTGTAAGTGTGTTTACGTTATCTGTGTTGCAAGAGTTCTGGGTGCATATGACAGTTTTTATATAATTCTAATAAAAATGTTAATTGGGTTTGTGTTTCCACTAAGGACTCAGGCACCTAATGTTAGGAGTGTCTGTAGCTGTTCACTGAACACTAACTTGGTCGAGCCTTTAAGCCTCTTGTTTGGGCTTATGATGGATAATGGTATTCAGTCCTCAGGGTGCTAGGGGGCTGTGCTGTGTTTCTCGCCAGCCCTTGGGTCCCAGCCTGCAGTCATCAGTTAGGGCTTTCACACATCCACTGTTGCCAGGAATGGTGCTTTGTGCGAGCCAAGCACCAGCACTCTTCTCGAGTCCTTGAACACAGGAGCCTCTCCAGGCCTTGCTCATGTCATGTGGAAAATAGCTGGCTCTGCCTCCCGATAAATGAGTTTTTCTAAATAGTTAATTTCCACATTCATGATATTGATGTGGCTATGTAGCTAAAGAAATGAAATAATTTTTTTTCCCCCAAAGATTTGGGACATTTTTTAAAAAATGACTCCAAACGTGATGAGTGTTTAAAACAATGGCATCTCAGGTCAGAGTAGGCCTGCAGTGGCACAGATGTGACTCCTCCCTCCTTGTCTGCTGTTTCCTCTGTGTGTCTGCAGAGAACCAGTATGTCCGTCCTAAGAGAGCCATTCACGTAGTATCTGTATAGAGTCATACCTTATGAGCATGCCCAGGTTTTTCACACACTTGTGTATTATTTGCTCTAACTCACCATATCAGGCTTTTTTCGCTCCAGTGTACAGTTGTGCAGAGCTCAAAGTTTAAAGTACTGAATTCTAAGTCAAGGTAAGAGAGAGACTGTCAGGAGTTGGATCCTGCTTTGGGCCTAGGAATTTAACATTCTCTCCACTATTCCATATATGCCAAGGGTCCACACTTTTGAAAGGATGAAACATTATAAGAACTTAGTAAGAACTGGTTGAACTCGTTAATGGACACAACATGAAATTGTCTTCAAATTTCTAAAAGTCAAAGAAAATAATTATTTTCTTTATACATAAAAATCTTTTCTCATTAAAGTAATACCTATAACTTCATGTTTTTATTAATATGCTCACAATGTCCTCTTTGTCATAGGTCTTAATCATGAACCTAATCACAATTGCTGCATGGTCAAAACTAGCAATATCAGAATTGGTGGAAATCAGTTAACGAGATGTAATGCCAGTGTGTTAGTGTGTATAGCTATCCACTTGTTATCCCCTTATGCACAATGACGATTTCTTCTTTTGACAGCTAAAGAGCAACGTTCTTAATCTCAACAACCACATATCCCAGTATGTAAAGATCTGTAATGAGCAGAAGGCGGAGGTATGTCTGCTGTTCACGGTGTGGTGCTGGTCTCAGTGCCTTGCATGGGATTCTTTAACTCTAATTGCCCAAGAAATTGCTGCACTGCTCGTGACAGTGGCCGTCTGGCTTATGCAGTTACTTGCATAGCTGAAAGTTTGCCTTAGCCATATATGATGGAGTCATATAACTTGGTTTATATTTTAACTCTTATTGTTCTCTTTCTCCTAGATTTTAATGTTGAAGGAAAAACTAAAAGCCTATGAAGAACAGAAAGCCTACACTGATAAAAATGACAAAGCAAAGTTAATGATTTCAAAACCTCAGGAAAAAGAAATCCAAAGGTAAAAATAGCATTAAGGTCTCATTTTGAAGCATTTATTACTTTAAAACTTAGCAGGTATTTCATGGTGATTATCATCCTTTGTCATAGGCTGCATGTACTACAAACAAACTCCATAGAATTTAGAGAGTCGCTGGTTGCTCTCTGTATTACACTTTTGTGGGGTTTTTGTTTTTGTCTGTGGTACCCAGGATTGAACTCAGGACCCTGCGCTTGTCAGGCAGGCGCTTCTACTGAGCTCTCTCCTTGGCCCTTATATTGCATTTATTTTTGGTTTGTTTTTATAGAAGTGAAGAAAACTAAGGTGTAGGAATGAGGCAGGAGTCGAGCCAGTGACTGGCTGAAGCTGGCTTGTGCTTAGCTGCACTCCAGCTTTCCTTCTCTAGTGTGATCATTGCTCCTGTATTTTATGGCTTCTATGTAGTGCTCCTGGTTCAAGAACTCACTAACTTACTGACTGTAGACCACTAATTGGGTGAAGGAAGTCCTCTGAGTGGGCACTTATTTTCCAGACTGTCGCATTGTCCTGCTAAAACCACTGCACATTGACATCTCTTGCCCCAGTGTCCCGACCGGGTAGAAGTCCCACTGGCTTGTAGGAAGTTCTTTTGATTATTAACTACTTTCCTTTTCTTCCTAAGCTGCTAGACTTTAGCATGGCAGTGTTGATGTTGGTGATTTTAGGGGCATAGTCCTTTAGGCTGGTCACTGCAGCAGTGCTCACAGGTCGTGCACAGAAAGGTGCTGGGTGCCTCCTGCGACACAAGCCATGTCTCAGCTGTGTCCCACCTGTGTTACTCTGCAGGCATCACGAGAACTCATGGCAACAGCTGTTTCTATCAGTGACAATAGCCAGTTTTAAAGTGGAGATCTATTTATCCTGCAGATTTTACAGTGTTTGAATTATTTCTGTTATTCCCTGTAGCAACCAATTTCAAAGTGAGTTGTCATTTCATTAGTTTTAAGTTTCTTCCAGTTTTAGCCTTTACCAAACAATAATATGATTTGGTATTCATTTAGTCTCATTAATGGAAGTATTCAGCTGTGATATTGCTGGTGTGCTGTTACTGTTTCCTTACTCAAGCATAGATGTTGTCGGCATACGAACAGTAGCTGTCTTTGTTAATGAAAGTTTCTTGAAAAAGAGGCCACCAGTTTCTGAAAGTTGGAGTAATTGCTTGCAGAGAACTTCCCCATACTACTTAATCAAGTCTCTTTTATCAGTGAAAATCTTATAAATTAATAAATGTTTCTGGATTTGACACCTTTAAACACCTTCACAATGGGATTATACTTTGTGTGTCTCATTGCTGGGTGGCTCTGATTAAACTTTGTTAATTAAAAGACTGATAAAAGTAATTAGATTGGTTCGTACCCTCAGTGGTACAAAGCTGTTCCGAAGGACAGTCACACACATCCTGAAGGTTCTAGCCAGCAAGAACATGTTAAGTCAGATTATTCAGGCCTGAACTAAGAAATAGGCCTTTATTTGGACATTTTTCACACTGAAATAGTTTTCAGTCCCTTAGGGCACTTTGTGTTTTAATGATTTTTTTTTTTTTAAGGAGTGCTCTAGAAACCTTCAATACTAAATCCTTTCCTTCCATCATAATTAGTAAACACCACCAAGTAAAATGTCTAGACCACAAAATTACAAAATTGACAAATACTTAATTTTGCCCTTGACTAAAAACTTATAGAAAAACCCAAGAATTTATCTTTGGGTATAACCTAAAGATAACTTATCAGTTCATTTACCGGCATTAGCCTTGGTGTAAGGTGATACAGTGAAATCACAATGTCTGTACATAATTCCTATGAAATATTTATCAGTTTGACAAAACTGCAGGAAAGTCAATGTATTGTGGCTTATACTCATTCCCAGCAGAGTTTCATTAAGAACTACTGACGTAAATTGGCAGTATTTTTACCACAAATTCTTAAAAATATATCTATAATTCTGGCCAGAGAACATTTATTTTTAAATGTACATACTTGATTGTATTTTAAAGGCTTCCCAGTTACTTGTTCTTTGAGGTATGTGCCTGTGTGTGACTGACTGGTGATGCTGCCTCTGTGTCATGGAGCTGATCTGTGACCTGACAGCACAGATGGATTTTTTTTTATAATTCTAAAATATCCCTGTGACCAGTGTGCTGCTGACCTGGCAGCCACAGGACTGCAGGATGATCAAAGGCTTCCACAGCAGCCAGTCATTCGCACGTCTGGGCCTTGGGGGCTGGGTCGGCTCCTTAGCTGGGCTCCCCTCGAAGGCTCCACTCGTAAGAGGAGCAGCTTTCCTCTGTCCACCGTGCTGTGGACATGCAGGCTTCAGTCCTGGAGGCCAGTCACCCCTGTGTCAGGCTGTAAGGGCACCCTGAGTCATGCGGGTGTCCCACTGTGTCACCTGTGGAAGCCGCAGCCGGGCTGGCTGGCCTTCTCCCACTGCTGTTTCTCCATCCGGGCCCTGGAAATGGCAAAGCGCTCTTCCATGTCATCATCCTTTGCCCACAGACATGAAGCAGCTTTGTTTGCCTAAATAGCTGGACCACATGCAGATAAACACACAGACAGAATATCAATATCAGAGGACTGGTGATACCTATATTTCCTATAACATGATTTTCTTTGGAAGAGAGAAAAACTAGCTTAGTAGAAATAAACTGAATACTCCTTTCTAAGTATTTTTGTAACGGGAAGGAGTTATTGCTACTGGACTTGGCTCTTGGTCATGGAGTGCAGTTCTGCAATCAGGTGTATATAATTGTTTTTTTTATTTTCTGGGGGGGGTATTAAGGATTGAAACCAAGGCCTCATGCAAGCGAGGCAGCCACAGTACCACTGATCACTCTAACCTTCTGGGGTTTTTTGGAATCATGTTTAGTTGCCTCATCTAGTCTTCAATTTGAGATTCTCAGACCTGTGCCTCCCAAGTAGCTGTAATTACAGGCGTGCACCATCAGTCCCTGCCTCATTCATTTCTTTACATCCCTTTTGTTCCCTGACCCTAAAACTGATGAGTTTCTCTAATGTGTTTTGGTTTTGATAGATTTCAAGAAATTCTTAACTGCTTGTTCCAGAATCGAGAAGAAATTAGGCAAGAATATCTGAAGTTGGAAATGTTACTTAAAGAAAATGAACTTAAATCATTCTATCAACAACAGTGCCATAAGCAAATACAAATGATGTGTTCTGAAGACAAAGTAGAAAAGGTATTTTAAAATACAACATGCAAACTTTAATTCTAAAAATTTGATAGCCAAAGTTACTTAATAACGCTTTCTCTACAAATGTGTGAACAGCTAGAGGAAATCTAGCAGACATTATTTCAAATGCCTAAAGTAAACAACAAAGAAATTTAAATTCACAGATTTCAGAAAAAGAAACCCAAAAAAATGCAGTGTTTGGTTGCAACTGGTTTTCCAGGGCATTTCTGGAAGTCGTGATTTGGAGTTCATGTGAGAAGGGGGTTTCCTGCCCAGGGCAGGACGGTGCGAGTGGCTCGTTCACAAGGGCAGCTGCCCCAGCAGCAGGTTTGTTTTCAGGGAAGAAGGTATCAGCACAGGTGCCGTTTGTCCTGCCCCCTTGTCCCCCTCAGGTGCTCTGCCGCCTGGCTCAGAGATCTGAGAGCTGGGAGTTAGCAGTGGGAGTGTCCCCATAAAACGCTTGGGGCCCCAGAGATCTGTGCTCTTCCTACTGTCCTGCCAGCCAGCATGGTAGGCTAGGGGTAAGCAGAAAGCTGTCTCTGCAAACTGTCGCTACCGTGTGCTTTCCCCAGTCGTTTGGGTTTGAAGTTTAGCAGCCCATGTGTCTTGTTTAGAAAACTCATAAGGCTGAAAGATGAATATTCAGTTTGATACCACCACAGCGAGACCTCTGGGAACCTGAGGAGCAGTGAAAACGCAGCCACGGGACTCAAGCCCTCAACCCCAGCAACTGCTGACCTCGCAATCCAAAGTCAGGAAAGCACTTCAAATGACTTCCCGTAGGGAAGCATCAGCAGGCTTGGCACGCACGACAGAGTCCGTAAAACTTCAGGTAGCAGAGCTCTCTGACAGAAAAACTAAATGTGAATGAAATTATAAACAAAGGAATGGAAGGAAAGAATCAAAGATTAAGATGACAAAAAAGGATCCAAATGAAGAGAAAAAAAAGAAATTTCTAGACATGAGATTTTTCACTGAATACACACTTCATAGATATAGTGTTAGCCAGTTTTTAGCATATTATTCACATTAACTTATTAAATGCTCAGAAAATTCTATGATGGATTTAATATCCTCCTAATCAAGATGAGGCCTTGACACACCGATCAGTCATGTTGTCAGCCACCTCCACAGCCACAGGTTAAGCCCTGGCCAGCTGACCCGAGGCCTGCGCTCATACGTCTGTGCAGCTTTTCCTGTTGGCTGTCGCAGAAGGCAGAGTTCAGGAGGGGAGAATAACCAAGAAAGTTACCAGATGCAGCGGAAGGAGGTGGCGTTCAGGGACAAGATGTGTGACATGATGGGCCTTTGGGTGATGAGTTCTGGGTTCAGGGGCAGGCATTAAGAGGGGAGACTGAGGAAGGACAGTCATTGGCCTAGTGCTATGCACAGCAGAAGTGAGTTCAAGAAGCAGGAGTCCTAAGCAAGAGAAAGGTGAGGCCTAGACCTGTGAAACTGGATTACTGGAGAGCAGAAAAAGAACATTTTGAAAATGCTGTGTTCTTTCCACAGGTTGTGTTCATTAAGTTTAGTTGCATTTTCTAAAGTATGTAATCATAGGAAACATTGATACATACACAGGGCTTTTGGGGGTGGCGACTGAAATCGTGCATGCTAGGCAAGCGTTCTACACGGAGTAACAGCCTTGGCCTCAAGTGTCATTTCTTACAAAGCTCTATCTGACGTGTAACTGCCTGTAGCTCTTTCCTCGCCACCCCAAATGTTTTTTCTTTTCCCACCTTTGGGAAGAGATACTGCACAAATTTTAGATTGCTTGATTTCCAAAAGTCATCACATTTTGGGAGACTTCCTTTTTTTCTCACACATACTAGGCACATGCTGCCACTGTGCTGTACTCTCTGCCCACAACTGCTTTTAAAACTAGGATCTTACATGTGTCTTACCATAGAAAGTAGGGAAGAAGTGATGAACTACACATCGTAAAGCTTTGCTTAGTGTATTATTGGTAGCAGTTTATCAGTCAGCCGTTACCAAAATAAGTAATTATCAAACCATTACACCTGTTATCAAAATAAGTAATTTGTTTATTGAGCACAGTATACATACCTGATCTTATGGAAAACTACTTTTTGTTCTGTTTTCTTGGGGGGGCGAGGGTACCTGGGGTCGAACTCAGGACCTTGCACTCTGGAGGTGCTTATGCTACTAACATACTTCTTGGCTCCTTGAAAATTCTTAAAACAGAAGAACAAGTAAACTTGTACCATTTTAGGGTGTGTGTGTGTGTGTGTGTGTGTGTGCGTGGCTTGAGCCCAGGCAGTGCGCAGGCTGCGCAGACACTGCCACCAAACCCCTCCGCGGCCGCAGACTGAGCCATGCTGCTGCATTCGCACATGGACCTTGCTGGGCTGCATAGTGCTTCCCAGCATTTTTTGACAAATAGAATGGCTTCTAAATAGCAGAATGTATTACGGCATTAATGTATCGTTGTGGTGAGTGCTTTCATATGGTTGCGAGGTGGCATTCTGAAATATAACCTTCTTCAACATGCGTATGATTTTATTCTGATTAGCACTCATAAAGCAGTTTTTAGTTGGATAATTCTTTTAAATTTGTGTAGATGTCACTAGATACTTTTTAACAACGCCTCTTAATTGGACACTTCACCTTAACTATGTACTAGAAATGTTTCAGAGTGAATCCATGAGATAGATTAATTCGTTTGGCACTTATAGTAAATCCATGAGACAGATCCAAAACTGTTGCCACATTGTGCTTCAGGCCACCTGCAAACGCGATCATAGGCTTGCAATGCTGAAAACGCGCCGCTGCTACCTAGAGAAAAAGCGAGAGGAAGAGCTGAAGCAGTTTGATGAAAACACCAATTGGCTGCGTCGTATGGAAAATGAAATGGGACTCCTGGGCCAAGATGGTCACATTCCAAAGGTACAGATGCATGTGGCGGTTCAGTTGGTTTGGGGAGCTGAACTTCTTAAAATTCTTATCTTTCTTTTTGAGTAACAATCTTTTGTAAGACACTGATCACTGCATTTCTCTGAAATTTAATTAACTTATTCTACTGTTTTTAACCAAACATCCCTTCTGCTTGATAATTTCCTATTACACTTGCCTTCTCTCTACTTTCAAAAAAGTAAAGTTACTTTTAAATGTCACTCTTAAGAAAGGCCTTTGTGAAGTAGCTCTTCAGCCGAGTAATCTGCTTTAAAACCCCCTAAGGATTCATCTTGTAGATAATTTGTGTTAATATTGATATTTTGTGCAAGTATAGTTTTAAATGTGGGCTGCACTAATTTTATTATGGCCAAAGAAAGTGACTTAAAAGGTTATGCATTTGTGCATGGCTGAAGATATTCCAATTAGAATGCGAAAGGTTAGATTTGCTTGGGTTGGGAGTGACGGCCAGTGCTCTTCTATAACCAGTTTGACCTGCCAGCACTGAGACTGAGCCCCAAGAACTTTGCACTGGGCTGCGTCCTTAGCCCTTTTTCTTAAGTCACCTCAGGGTGGTGTCCTAAGGTGCCAGCTTGCCCAGGCTTGGCTCAAACTTGGGACCTTCCTACGTCAGCCTCCCAGAATGCTTGACTTACAAACATACACCACCATACCCAGCTTGGACTGTGTTTTGCTCACTTGAAGATAAGTCTTGAAATATGTAGTTCCGATATGCTATAAGTACTATTATTGCCCTTGTCATTTTATGATTCTATGACTATTTCATGTCCAGAATTGAGCTCACACAACAGGCAAGGGCACCCTTCCCAGGGGAGCAGTGTGTCACATGTGTGCCAGCAGGCTCTGTGCCCAGGATCACGGCCCGTGACCCTGGCTGCGCGGCTGTGTGCAGACACCAGAGCATCTGGAAAACCCCATAGTGCTCTTGATAAGAGGGGAGAAAGCAAACAGATCACACCCAGCAGCAGCTTCTACAGAACAACTAACTTGGAGCCACATCCCTGCTGCTTTAGAAGGAAGGGTATTTCAGTTTCCTTTTTCCTAAAAGGTGAAGTTCCTCTAAGCCTTGATTTCTAAAATTCTATATCAGTTGACTGATATATATCATTCTAAAATCTTCAAATTTTTAGAACATTCAACCGAATATAGAGAGGAACTAAAGTACCTAGTAACAAATGCTAGGGATCTTTAACACTTAAAGGTAGATTAGGACACTAAATAGAAAGCATACCCTAGTATTATTTTAAAACACCATAACACCTTATATAATACTTCAAAATATTCCCCACAGAGAAAATGCAAATATGATAACCACTTGTAGTTGGAGTGTTTCGTAATTCTGTTGTTTGGTAGTTTGAATTCTGGCTCACAAAGTGATTTTGAACAAATCATTAAATAATGATGTCTTAATTTCTCATCTATAAATATAGTTAGGTTATAAGCTAAAATAACACTCTATATCAGAGGATTAACAGTAATGAGTAGTAGTTAATGAATAATCGTAAACAACAATAATATGCCAGTAGCCGAAGTGTGAAATACACAGAAGGAACAGTTAGTGGCGTCACATGGGCACCACAAGTGTCTCCTCCAGAAGAGAGACTCTGACTTTCCAGGAGTCATAAATGCCCTTGAGAATCTAATGGAAGATACTCAGCTCTCCCTCACAGGAGATCGGAAAGTCACGCTTATGTGGCTTTGCATGTGTTTTCAGTCACTGAAATCTCTTAGAGCTCTTCTGTGAAACAGCGTTATGTACCACTGAAAGTAAATAATCCACATTTGTTAAAATGGCAGCTCTATCTTAAGATAATATCATGACTTAAAATTCCCATGTAAAGATGACCATGACCCATAGTGAACTATAGCGGAGATTGCCTGGGCTTAGGAAATCTAGCTTCTAAAATTCTGTGCAAGACGTGAGTCCTGCACAGCTGCCGAGACTCAGCTGAGAGTGTAAGGGCCTCCGCCACGCCGCGCTCAGAGTACCAGAAACATGTCCTGGATGGGAAGTTTTCCAAAACAGGAGCAGGTAACTCTGTCCCTGTGAGGGCATTCAGTGACAGTACTTGAATGTTTTAATGATCAAGTATTGTGGTTAAATGTTTACCTTACTTAAAAATAACTACCGAGGGTGCTTTAGTTTTCTAAATCCGTTACCATGGTTTACGGCTCTACTCTGATGGGCTAGAATATCTTAGGTCAGCCTTTTGAGGGTGCTTGCGCTTCCCAGCAGCACGGCCTGAGGCGCGAGGCGCTTGCGTGATCAGGTCCGTTGGTGCATGAAGTGGGCGTTCTGAGTGATGCCCAGCCCCGCCTGGGAGGGTGCTCAAACCGTGCCTGCTGTTAACGACACAGAAATGCTGACTGTGAAGCTTGCTAGTTTGCCTTTGCTATCTGTGTGTATTGTAAGCTCTGTTTTAAAATTCGTGTTATATTCACATTATTATTACTTTCTTTTCTACTTACTAGTGTTTAAGAACTTAATATAACTTGTGTTATTTTCAATAAACTTTTAATTTTTCAATGTAATCTAATTTTTCTAGGGGTCTGCCCTCTACACCTCTCTTAAGTAGAACTTTAGTACACCTGTTTGCGAACCTAATTTAAATTCTTGTTTTTCGTGCATTTTATAACAAACTAAAAAAAAAAGTCAAGCTGTTTCCATTCCTACCACCCAAACCCTACCTTCCATTCTTTTGTTCTGCAGAGCTTTTCACAGCTGTAATAATCTAATCAGAAGCCCTATGTCCTGTGTAAGCACCAAAGCAGAATGTAAAGGGATTTTCTGGGGTCATATGATGCTGACAAAGACGCAGCCCCTCTGCCTGAGCGTCAGTGCTCATTCCTCTGAACCCTTCTGCATGTCTGCTTTCTGTTGCCGCTTCCTCTGGCTGGGCGCTGTGCTTGCCCTGTGCACCTGGTGCTGTCCTGCGGGATGCTCCCTCTCCAGTCGCCTGCTCTGGTTACACAGCCCCAGGTTGCAGTGGCTTCTCCGCCTGCGAAGGCTCCCCAGTGCTCCGTGGCTGAGCGTGACCTGCGCTGGGTGCTGCTAAGTACGGGCTCCTCTCACTGCACTGTGCTTCGGCCGCTGCCAGCCTGTTCTTTCTTCTCTGGCAGCAGAGAAAGGCAGTGGTGTGGGGGCCAGAGCACACTCAAGATGAGCTTGGCTTCCAAAGATTGCCAAGGGGCCGAGGCCTGAGACTAAGTCAGGAAAATAAAGCAAAATTATCAAAGAATGTTTGCTTTTTTAAAAAGGCGTTAGGGTAATAGATACGAGAAACATCTGACAAGCATGTTCATTCTGCTACGTGGTGCCTCATCATGAATGCGAGTCCTTCCAAGGTCTGCTCTCAGGAGCCTTTCCACAGCTCTGGGTACAGCTGCGTTTTTCTGCAGAATTATGGTACACATTTTGTGAGCGGAACCGTGCAAAGAATTAAGTTTATTAACCAAGGTACCACTGTGTAATTATTTGATTTTTCTACCTGGAAAGAAAGCATCTTCTCATCCAGCTCCTACATTTCAGTCAAGTGAACTGATCTCCATAAAGGCCATATGTTTGATTGAAGTTGGCGTTTGTTTTAATGCCAAGTATATCCCTAAAAATCACGTAACTCAGGCCATGCTCTGCGCATATCATTCTGGTTTCATAGATTTTTTTTTTCTAAAATATATGCTGTATTCCTTGAAGTATTAAAATGAATTATGTAATCCTATCCTTAATATATCTCAGACAAACAGGTAACATGTTTTCAATCTTAGTCCTGTTACTAGTGAAATATTTTGAAAAGAAAGAATAGCTAAGCTTTTAGGGAATCTGTTGGACTGGATTAGAAAGGAGACCTGGACTGAAAAGCTCAAATGGATTATGGGAATTTTCTCAGAGTAAGTTTCCAGGCTGGTAGCTCTCCAGGCTGGCTCAGTTACTTAAATGTCCCCCTAAAATCACTCCTTTTCATTACAGATGAGAATTCCCCATTTAAAGATGCAGAAAATGTTACTGGATTATCCATACTTCACTGTGATCACTTAACTAATAATTTTTGTACTTGGGGCTTACTAGGTTTGAGGGAAAAAATTTTATTTTAGGTTGGAATTTTAATGATGTTATAAAGATGAGGCTTAGGAAAATGGGAATAGGGGTTGGGGAGACAGCTCAGTGACATAAGCACCTGCCTGGCAAGTGCACGGCCCTGAGTTCCATCCCTGGTACTAGAAAAAGAAAATGGGAGCATATACGAATTTTCTGGCAAACTTTAACAGTTTGCTTTTGCCTAGGGTGGTGCTAGCAGTAAGAGCTGTGTGGACAAGTAACTCCAGATGCTAAGCTGATCTGACAAGGTCCCTGTCCTGGGGGTGGACCTTACATTCTAGTGCAGACTGAGAAGCTAGTAATAAAGTGAATGAATTAAATTGTACCTCCCCAGTGCCATACTGGCCTTACAGGGTGGAGGGCAAGCACTGGGAACTAGTGCACCCCGTGTCACGTGAGCTTAAGCGTTGGTGAACACTGGCCCTAGGAGTGTGTCTTCACAACATGGTGAACAAGATGGAGTAACGTGGCATCATTCCTAATAATCAGTTTCTAAGGAAACTTCAAACCTTGTCTTCTTACCTATACTAGAGCTCGTTCTTTCAAAAATCTAAATTAAGAAATTTAAACTACTGGCACCAGTATAAAATAACTTTTATTAGACCAATAGTTTTTCAATATGCTTAAGAGGATCTAAAGTACACTTTGCCTCGTTTTCCCTAGGAACTAAGCAGAGAGCTTCATTTTCACCACTTGCACCTCCAGATTGCAGATTTGAAAGCGCAGATGAGGCACATGATGGACCTCGCCTGCCTGCAGGAGCAGCAGCACCAGCACACTGAGGCGTGAGTGCGGGGCCCGCTGCTCTGTAGAGAGTGAGACCAGGGTGGGGCATCGGAGCGTGAAGGCTGCCCTGTGCACCCGCGGCTTTGTGTCTGTGGGGCGCATTGTCTCCCAGTGTCTGCCAGCAACAGTAAATCCCAGGGAGAAAACTGAGACTATGCAAGATGTGGTTCTTTCCTGGTAGTTAATTTTTTAAGGCATTTTTCTCTAAAATTTTGTTGTTTGTATTTAAAATAAGCCACTTAAAATTTCTAAGAATTCTTATCCAGTGAAGCAGTTGTGATTAACATTAATTAAATTTTTATGTAGATAATTGTTAATTATTCATAACTAATGATTTTGCTATTATTAAAATAAAGTTGCTAAATATCAAGGGTATTTATTTATTTATGTATTGGCTATAGGGTCTCACTACACAGGTCAGACTTGTAGTGGTCCTCCTCCTGTCTTAGCCTCCCCAACACTGGGATTACACGCGTATGCCATCACGCCTGGTTTCAGGGCCAGCACAGCATGCAGGTCTGGGGATTGAACTCAGGTCCTTGTCCTTGCCAGGCAGGTGCTTAAGCCACCGAGCTACCTCCCCAGCCCAAAGGTCCCAATTTTTGTGTGATGCTCTTTTATACTCTTTCTACTACCTTGGTAGTAACATCTCAGTCATCTAATTTCAAAAAACAAATTTTTTTTTTAAGTGTGACTTGATGGTTTTTCATCTCTCAGATAAATCAGTCAGCTTCTTAGACATCACTTTGATGCTCTGTGAAAATGAGAAATTTGTTTCTCCATGGACTTTTCCACAGTGTAAGTCTACTCTGTTCTGCTAACAATCTCTAATAACTGCTGGTTAATTTTCTATACTTTTGATTTATAGGAAGTCACGTAAGTATAGCAATTTTTAAAAAGGAAAAGGACAGCTTCAAGGAATTTCCTTGTGTAGAGGCGCACACTAATCTGCTGCCTGACCGCTCGCTGCACCTCCTCCAGCAGACATTAAACCTTCATGCTAGCACTCAGACAACCTGCAGGGGCTCAAGTCACACAGCAAACATAACGTATTTTCAGTTAACAATAATCATGCCTCAGAGAAACTTCATTTTCTATGATACTATCACTGCGCAAAGCTTAAACATGACTTATTCGAACCACACTCTATCTACTATATCAGACGCTGTATTTAGGGTAATTTTCTACTTTAAAATGGTAAAAAAAAAAAAAAGGCTCCACACACTAATACAGAGAATCAATGACTCAGACAGTGTGGCATCATGGGAAGAGCATTTGTGTGGAATCGGCCTTGAACTCTTGCCTCCATGAGCGTGTAGGTCTGCCTTATATATAAAATAGCTTCTAGTACAGATGTGATACGGCACCTGTGCCACAGGCTCCTCGTCACTGTTGCAGACTCCACGTCTGCTGAACCTAAAGTTAGGAGCTGTTACGACAAGAGGACACAGTGAGCGCGGCACAGAGACAAAGCAGACAGGCTGGGCTCAGTTTCAAGAGTTTTCTTCAGTGGAGTCAAAACTGGTGCTTAATTGCACCTTCACAAGTTGTGGCAACACACGGCAAATGCTGTTTACCTGGGGAGCTCTTTCAAGTCTTAGTGCTTGAGTTTTGTTGCAAGCTGATCTTAATAAGCACACTCTGCCCAACATTACCAAGTTATAGACTTTTCTAAAGGAAATAGCACAGAGCCTTTTAGGGTTTCGGTCAGTTCCCCCACAGCCTCATGCGGTAGAACTTTTTCAGAGGTGGCTGAATCTAGCAGATGGTGCTAGGATTAAAGGTGTGTGATAGCCAGGTCAGTCCACTGGTTGGCTTGACGTTGCCCTACCTGGTCATCTAAAACCTCGACAAGATGTGAGCCGCACAACCTCTCTCCTCTAACTGTGGGTGTTGGGAACTTTCTGTCAGCAGTGAGAGGAGAGTAACTAAGACAGAGCCACTCTTAGCATATCACGTCCGGAACTGAGGGAAGCACTTCATATGCACCTTTGAGGAGGCCAGCCTTAGGCCTGCAGTGGTATAATTCTGCACAGTCCCGCTTGCCAGGTTGGGTGTGTGGGTGTGCCCTGGCGTAGCCGCCAGCATGGCGCAGCGCCTCTGCTCTCAGGACTCGCTGTCTCGTGTTCTATTGAGGTCCTCTGTGGTTAGACCCATGATGCTCTTCTAAACAGCGATGGGCCAGAAAGTTCAGTTTGCACATCCTGGTATCCTGGACCTACCCCCCGTGGGACATGGCAGCAGAGGAGAGACAGTGGTGCCCCTTTCAAGAACTCAGTCAACTCAATTGTTTTATTTACTGTTACTTTTATTTACTTTTTATAACTTTTTTGTATACATCTTTCACTTAATACCTGCAGAAGGCTAGTTCCAGAACCCCCATGATACTCATATCCACCCATGCTAAACTCCCCCATAAGATGGCGAAGGGTCTGGAAATAACCCACGTATGTCCTCAGTGCATTAATTCATCTCTGGGTCCTTAGAATACTTACTATAAATGCTCTGCAGTTAGACTGTGCTGTGCACAGATCGCAGCAGGGGAACAAGTCTGCCCCTGTTCAGGACAGTCATGCCGTTGTAAGTCAAACCACAGCATACAAGAAGGAGTTGAGGCAGAGAATCTGAGCAGTGAGAAGCTGTTGCGAGGCAGGCCGCACCCCTTTCCTGTGGGTACAGTTTGTTTGACGGCTGGTTGGTTAAAGTTTTGCTATTTTAAACTCTGCATTCCTGTAGGTTTTTGTTTCTGTTTTTTAGTATTCCTGATGCACTTTGGTTGGATCCATAGAAAAGGAGTCCTCAGAAATAGAGGGCCAGCTAGCTGTACTTGTTACTTATTTGACTTACATAGAGTTCTGCCTACCAACCCCTCACCAAAAAGAAGAAAACCTCAGATTATTTGTACTAGTGTCTAAATATTTTACATTCTGGGGCAATAGGGCATTATTTCCTTATATGTTAAAATTAACACCTGATATTCTTGTTTTCTCTGTACTTGAAATAGTTCTGTACTTTTGGGTTAGCCAAAGGGAACAGTATCTGTTAACCACTATCTCTGAGCAATTTGAAGATTCTCATGTTTGCATCTGCCTTTGTAGAAGTTAGGAGTTGCCAGCTGAATGTACACAGTGGCTGTTTGGCACAGACTTGATAGAGAATGCTTGTACTGTATAAATGTCTAGTGCATGAAAAAGTGTAATCAGTGCCGTTGACTGTCAGTAAAATGAGAGATTCAGAGTCAGAAGCAAGAACTTAAAACCTTCAGTCCTCCTTATGCACAGCTTTTTACCCACATCTTTTCTCTTTGAAGCCCACTTTGAAAACTGCTCCTTTTAGGTCTCTTAGGGAGAACTGGGTTTTGTTGTTCAGTTGTGTGGGTTTTAAAGTTTTATACTTAAAATGTGAGACTTTTCATGTGACAGAAGTGTACAGGGGTGAATGAAATACACAATGAATGTCTACACTTTATGGAAAAACTTATTACATAAAAGACACATTGTCATTCATCTGCCTCAGAATACCACCCATTACTCCGAGCACGTATAGTTCTTGCAACTTTCTGAAGCAGTTCTTGAGGTCCTCTTTCATGTGTGTCTTTACAAAGTGCAATCACAATAGTGTTATTGCTGTCATCCAGCAGAATGACAGGCTAACGAAATGCATCACTGTCCTCCTCCCGCTTATGCACCAGATCTGGCACCAGTTTCTGGCTCTTCCCCAAACACGAAATGACCATGCATGTGAACATTTTCACTTGATTCTAGATAATGAAGCAGCCAGGATAATGCAACTAAAGACACTCAGGAAAGAGGCTTTCCATAACTTCTCCAGAAAGTGGCAAGAACAAGACTGCAAACACTCCAAGAATAGGGCTTAGTTCTTATAATCCCCACTCAGGAGTGTTGCTAGTATACTTAATGTGTTAAGCTTGTAAAGTCTCTGACTAGAATAATGTTTTCTAAAGTAAAACACAGGAAATCATTTTAACGATAGGCTAATATTGTGGTTGTAATGTAAAAGAATGATAAATAATATATTTAAAAATTAGTGTTTGTTTCTCCTTTCTTATCTTCTGTACAATAGAGTACTGAATGCCTTACTTCCAAGCCTAAGACGACAGTATTGCACGTTGAAAGAAGCTGGCTTGTCAAATGCTGCTTTTGAATCTGACTTCAAAGAAATTGAACATTTGGTGGAGAGGAAAAAAGTGGTAGTTTGGGCAGATCAGACTACCGAAACACCAAACCAAAAGGATCTACCAGGGATTTCTGTTCTGATGACCTTTCCACAGCTTGGGACTGTCGAGTGTAATCCTTGTAAGTATGGCTTTTATTTTATTAACTAAACAATAACATTATTTTGGAAGTTATTCTTTATTTTTTAAAGTACAAAATAATGGTAATGCATAAAAAATTTCAAGTGATACAGAATTTCACTTAACAAACTAATATGAATTTTACAGTATTTGTTGTAATGCATAGTGTTGTCTTCCAACCAGTTATTCATATTACCAGATAAATGCATGTAACATTGGAAGAAGAAAGAAATGTATAAGAAATTGACAAGAGAAAAAATACAAACAATTGAAAAGTGACAAAACAAGTTAAGCATTATCTGCTCCTTTCCATAGACCAGTAGAAATGCCCAGTACGGTTGTCCATTCATCCTACTTACTTACACAGATGCATCTCTTTCCACTGTTCCCTCTCCTATTCTTCTCCTCTACTCAGTGAATTTTTCCTTTTGATTAAGCTCATTGCCTCTTCCCAGTATCTACTGTATCCTTCAGATTCCATTTTCTTCTTCAGGTTCTCACACTAAGGAGACACTATTATGTTTGCACATGTGGGTCTGATGTATTTCACTTAAAGAGTATGTTGTCTAGGTGCATCTAGAGTATTGACAGAATACTCAAATTTATCCTGTTTTATAGCTGAATAATATTTCACTGTATAAAAATATTATATCTCCTTTATCTGTTCTTCAGTTGATGGGCATATGGGTTGTTTCCAGGATTTAGCAATGACAAATTGTGCTACTATAAACATGGGTGCACATATATCACTGTGGAATGAGGTTTTCAGTTCTTCTGGAAAAATACCCAGGAGAGGAATAGCTGGCTTGAATTGGATCTCCAAGCCTAGCTTTTTAAGGAATCTCCACACTGATTTCCACAGTGGTTATATCAGTCAGCACTTCTATCAACAGTGGAGAAGTTTTCCTTTCTCTCCACAGCCTCTCTAGCATTTGTTATTGGCTGACATTTTAATGTTAGCCATTCTTTCTGGGGTGAGATGGAATGGCAGTGTTCTTTTAATTTCCATTTCTTGAATGATGAATGATATTAAAAGAATTTATATATTTGCCATCTGTATTGCTTCCTTTGAGAAGTGTATGTTCATCTCAGATGCCCATTTTTGGATTGAGTCTTTGAAATGAGGGGGTGATTTTTTTTTTTTTTTTTTCATTCTTTATATGTTCTAAATAGAAGGCCTTTGTTGGAGAGACAATTGGCTCTAATTTTTTCTCAGTTTGTAGATTTTTCTTTTTGCTTTGTCAGGGATTTGTTTTGAAGTGCAGAAACTTTTCAAGGAGAACCCGGTTCTTGCTTCTTTGAAGTATTTCCTGTGCAGTTCAGCCTTTGTTCATGAAGACTCTGCCTACCCCTATGTCTTCCTAAGATTTCTACCTACATTTTCCTCTAGAAGATTTAGTGTTTCTATTTTAATATTTAAATCTTTAGGGCCGGAGAGATAGCTCAGCTGACTAAGCGCCTACCTAGGCAAGCCCAGAGACCGGGGTTCAATCCCTGGTACCACATGCTGTGCTGGCCCCACCTCCAGGTTCACTGAGCCAGCTATTGAGTTCAGGCATATTTGCACACACCTATAATCCCAGTGCTAGAGAGGCTGAAAACAGGAGGATCATTACAAGTCCAAGCTTCATATTGAGACCCTGTACCAAATACATAAATTAAAATAAATAAATAAATCTTTGATCCATTTTCACTGTAGTTTTGTGCGTGGTAATAGGCATTGGTCCAGCTTTAGTCCATGGCATGTGGAAAGCCATTTTGTCTAGCACCATTTATTAAAAATGCGTTCTTTCTTCCAGTTAATGTTTGGCCCCTTTATCAAAGATAAGGTGACTGATTGTGTTTCCAGTTGTATGTGCATCTTCTAATATGTTTCATTGATCCTCACGTCTGCCTCCATGTCAGTACCATGCTGATTTTATCACAGTACCATTATGGTATAATTTCAGGTCAGAAATCGTGATACCTCCTTCCTTTCCTTTGTTTCCCAGAATTGCTTTCGATATTCTAGGTCTCTTCTGGTTCCAAATGAATTTGAGGAAAGTTTTTGCTAGCTCTGTGAGGTAACTTAATGGTATTTTAATTAGGATTGCATTGAATACAATTTTGGGAGTATGGCCATTTTCACAGTATTGGTTCTTATTGTCCAGGAGAATGGATTATCTTTCTATTTTCTCAAATACTCTTCAATCTCTTCACAGAGTACCATAATTTTCACTGTATAACTCTTTTGCTTCCTTTGTGAAATTGATTTCTAAGTATTTCATTTTCTTGAATGTAACTGTAAAAGGCATGGTTTCCCTAATTCCTCTCTGAGAGCATTCATTGTTTGTGTATAAAAATGCTGATTTTTGGGGTGTTGACTTTGTATCCTACTACACTACTGAATTTGGTGATTAAATCTACAATATTCTTGTTGGAGTTTTTGGTATCCTCTATGTAGAGTATCATGTCATCTGCAAATAATGATAATTTTGTTTCCTTTCCAATCCTTATTCATTTTATTTCTCTCTTTTGTCTAATTGCTCTGGCTAATGTTTCAAGAACTATATTGAGTAGGAGTGGAGACAGTGGACATCCTTGTCTTGTTCCTGATTTTAAAGTGCAGGCCTTCAGTTTGTGCCAATTTCATATGATGTTGGCTGTTGGTTTCTCGTAGATGGCTTTTATCAGGTTGAGATATAGACTCTCTATGCTGATTCTTTGTAGGGTTTTTATCATAAATGAGTGTTGGACTTTGTCTAAAGCTTTTTCTGCATCTATTGACATGATCATGTGGTTTTTGTTCTTGATTCTACTAATGTGGTTTGTTACCTTTATGGCTTTGCATATGGAGAACCATCCCTGCATTCTTGGGATGAATCCCACTTGATCATGATGTATAATCTTCTTGATGATTTGTTACATTCTGTTTATTAGTTTTTTTATTGAGGATTTTTGCATCTATATTCATTAAATTGGCCTGTAGTGTGCTTTTTCAGTTGGGTCTTTCTCTGCTTTTGAAATCAGAGTAATACTTGCCTCCAGGAATAAGCTTGGGAGAATTGCTTCCCTTTCAGTTTCACTGAAGAATTTAAGAAAAGTTGCCATTAAATCTTGTCTAAATTTCTTGTAGAATTCTGCTCTGAATTCATTGGGACCTGGGATTTTCTTTGTTGGTAGGTTTTTTATTACATTTTCAATTTTGTTTCCAGTTATTGGATTATTGAGAATATGTATATCTTCTAGACTCAACTTTGGCATTTCATTTGTGTCTAGGAAACTGTCCGTTTCCTCTGTGTTCTCCGTCCTGTGAGAGTAAAGATTTTAGAAGTAGATATTGATGATCTTCCGGATTTCTCTAGGGTCTGTAGTGATTTTACCCTTTTGATTCTTTATTGCATGGATTTGGGTTTTTTTTCCTTTTTTCATCAGGTTGGCTAGAGATTTTTCGTTTTATTTATTCTTTCAAAAAACCAACCCTTTGATTCATCTCCATTGCATTAATTTCTGCTCTAATCTTTATAATTTTCTACCTTCCTTGGGCTTTAGGGTTGCCTTGTTCTTCTTTTTCTAGAAGCTTGAGGTGCAGCATAAGATCATTTATTTGGGCTTGTTCTGTTTTCCTAATGTGCGAGTGTACCACTATTAATTTGCCCCTTAAGACAGCTTTCATTACATCTTACAGGTTTTGGTAGGTTATATCTGCATTTTTGTTTGATTGTAAATATTTTATTATTTGTTCTTTAATTTCATCTGTGACCCACTGATTGTTTAGGAGGTTGTTACATTATTTCCATTGTTTATGGTGTTTTGTAGTTTGTTTTGTCAATAATTTCCAGTTTTACTGCACTGTGGTCAGGAAGTATGCAAGAGATAATTTCGGTTCTTTTGCATTTGCTTAAGAATGCTCTGTGTGCTCATATATGGTCTATTTTGGGAAATGTCTTGGGTGCAGCTCACAGAAATGTGTATTCTGTTGTTGCTAGGTGATATGCTCTGTATAGGTCTACCAAGTTGATTTCTTCACAAGTTTGGTTTAATTCTGTTATTTGCTGATTTTTTGCCTGGTTGATCTTTTTCTTTGTGACAGTGGCATGTTCAAGTCCCCCGTTACAATTGTAGTATTGCTCAGTTGTTTTTTCATGTGCATTAAAATTTGTCTCATGTAGGTGGGTGCTCCTACATTGGGTGCATATATATTTATAATTGTTATCTCTTCCTCTTTCAGTTTTTCTCCTAACAAGTATGTAGTGACCTTTATCTATTTGAATGATTTTTGAAGTTGATATTTTCAACAACCATATCTTCCTCTGCTTTTTTCTGATTTCTTGTGGCATGGAAGATTGTTTTTGATCTTTTGACTTTGTCTGTGAATTTCCTTTTGAATTAAATGTATTTCTTACATGCAGCATACTGTTAGATTTTGTATCTTAATCCACTCCGCTCCTCTGTTTCTTTTGACTGGTGAATTGAGACTGTTTACATTGATTGTTGTAACTGATATGTATTGGCTTATCTTTGTGATGTTATTTTCCTGCTGTTCATTCTGTACCTTTTCCCTCTTTTTAATTACTTGCTCTGTTTGATGGTCCCTATCTGTTATGTTTGGAGCTGTGATCACTTATGTCTCTTTCCAGAATATCTATCAGTACTCTTTGTAGGGTTGGTTTGGTGGTCATGGATTTCTTCAATTGTTTTTTGTCATGGAAGGACCTTATTTTCCATTGAATTTGATACATAGTTTTGCAGGGTACATCAGTCTAGGTTGGAAGTTATTTTCTTTTAGTATCTGAAATACTTCACTCCAAACTCTTCTTGATTTGATGATTTGTGTTGAGAAATCTGCTGTGATTCTGATGGGCTTTCCATTTTAGGTTATCGATTTTTTTCTCTAGCACCTTTTAATAGTCTGTTCTGAGATCTTGATTATTGTGTGTCTAGGTGTAGATTGTTGTGATTATGGCTGTATGGAATTTTACATGCCTCACTTGTCTGTATGTGTTTCTTTTCTCAATATTT